CACACACACACGCACACGCACACGCACACTCACACACACACACACACCCGCACACGCAAGCACACGCACGCCCGCGCACCCGCGCACCCGCGCACCCGCGCACCCGCGCACCCGCGCACCCGCGCACCCGCACACCCGCGCACCCGGACACCCGCACACCCGCGCACCCGCGCACCCGCGCACCCGCGCACCCGCGCACCCGCGCACCCGCGCACCCGCGCACCCGCGCACCCGCGCACCCGCGCACCCGCACACCCGCACACCCGCACACCCGCACACGCGCACATGCGCACACGGGCACGCGCACACGCGCGCCGCGCACACGCGCGCGCAAGCGCACACGCGCGCGCGCACACGCAAACACGCAAACACGCAAGCACGCAAGCACGCAAACACGCAAACACGCAGACCGATACCCCACACACACACAGGCATGGTAGCACTGACACTTGCTGAATACTCGTCTGTCTTTCTGCACGCGACAGTGTCAGTCAGGCTTTCACTGCTCGAATCCAAACTCGAACTTGCGTCTTAATTCGATTTGATTGCCTGTACGCGTTCCACCCGACATGAAGTGTAGTGCAGCTGGGAATCGATTTGAAGCCGCCGCCGGGTATCTTGCAAAGCTGCCAGCTCGGTCTGAGGGAGAACGACAACGTCGCTGATGGCATGATGGAGGCTAGTCAGCTCGGCGTGGGTGCAAAGATCAACGTCACACCACTCTTATGGCCACTCTTTTGAGTGGAGTCGGTCCAGGCTCGTTAGGGGAGAAGGCCAATGTTCCGCGCACAAGCCCAAGGTCCTACTTGAAACTTGAAACTCTAAGAGTTGACAAAAAACACAAAGGTCAAGCGCGTTCGACCCAATTATTGGCTGCTCTTTGTGAGTCTTTTGGACTCGACTGCTTGTGGACAGTATCGGATAGCCAGGCTGGTGTGAACGACGGCATCAAAGAAAGACGGCAGGACACTGCAGATGCGGAGCTTTTTTGAGACTGAACAGCCTTCTCCATCCGGGGCTGGCAGGGATGGTCCTCAACCTCTTCATGGGGTTTAGCCAACCGCATGCTTGAGGCTTATGTTACTCTGAATGCATTTGGGGTTCTATTACATTGGAACCAAAGCAAGAACTGTTCTTTTGGGTGCAGCATTTCAAGACACACCCATGTTGCGCCTTGAGCAGGGTCCCCCAAAGGATTCATTTGGGCCAGCAAGTCAACTTTTCAGCTTATCTCCATGCTTCCCTTTGCAATGGTGGCTTTTGGATGTAAGCCTCCCTTCTGGAGCCCAGTTGCAACAGTGAATTTTACAAGAGAACCATCCCCAAGTGGTTGGACCATCCCCCGAATTTTCCAGCGTGCCTTTGGGTTCGAGGAGCTGATTCAGCGCATGAATCGCGAAGCAGAGAGCCGCAAGGGCATCGCCACCAAGCCGGGACCTCGACTTTTGGGAAGACCCCAAAGTAGGAAGGCCAACATTGGTAGGCTACTTCTATTTTTTTTGTCTTGTGGTTTTTTCCTCGCAGAGATCCAAGCATTCGAAAAGGCGACAGAATACAAGATGAGGGAGACTCAGATGTCCCAAGGCGTACCACAGAAAACGGTCCTGACATGAATCCCACTGGCTTTCCTTCTGCCGTCCCTTTAAATACCAACCACAAGGGTGTTTGCACTGAGATCTCTCTTCACAGGCGGCAGCTGCAGAATCACAAGCACAAGCAGTTCGTAGTGGCGGACAAGATTGTGCTTCGCCTCAGGCGAATTTTTCTCGTTTAGACATTGCCTGAGGGCCTGAGGCTGGACGAGGCTTCCAATTTTCAGGTTCTTTTGGGGGCACAGACCGCGGGATGAAATTGGGCTCAAAAAACGGGGGACCCCGGATCCCTCTAAGGTTGCTTACCGCCTCTCTTTCAGCAATCATTGGAAGCGGCCAGAAGGGTTTTGGAAGCTTACCATCTTGCAAAGGCCCCTAGAGCGGGCAAGTGATGTCATCAAATGTGTGTGGGTGTGTGTGTGTGTGTGTGTTGTGTTGATAACTGAAAGCCAATTGATTGGAGTTGCGGTTGATTGCCTACACAGATTGCGAGGGCGCTCTGTGCCGGCAAGTTTTGCAGCTTCCTCGAAGTTTGGGAAATTATTTTTGGTGGGAAGCATTGGCGAAGCATTTCTCGCGAGAGATGCTAAGGTGAAGGATGGCAAGGCGTCCTATGAATGGATGTTCCAAGATCAAGCTCGGACCTTGTTGCTCCAAACAAACGTCAGATTCGATGTCTTGTCGGGACGCGGCAAATGCTTAGAGTTGGCTTGTGACATCTTGTGATCAAGAAGGGATCCCCAATGAACCTCCGCAGATGAGCATGGAACCCGAAAAGAGGTTATGAAATCTAAGATGGTTTCCACTACCCCAAAGCCACCGACTCGGGTCGTCCCCTTGTATATACCCTTTTATTGTGTAGTGGTTGGAGGGAGGGTAGTAGGAGCCATCTTAGATAAAGCATGTTTCGTCTTTTTGGCTTCCATACCACTCTGAGTAGGATGCAACTCCCTTGCACAGGGTTTGTCTGGGGGAATCAGCGGCGTCTAACCTCCCATGTCACGAGGTAAAGAAGGACAAGCTGCTAGACTTTGAGAACATGAGCGATGCGCCCAAGGACTACTCTCCCTCGATTTTTCGCCGAAGAGTGGCCGTCTCGCTCACGCCGGGCATCTGCTTGTAATTCGGTGTTTTTGAGGCTCCGGTTGGTTTGAAAGGAGACCAGAAGGAAACCACCATTCAGGGGGGTTGTCTCCTGTTTTGACCCATGCCCATTTTTCCTTTGAATGCTCTGTTTTCCTGTTTTAGGTTGCAAGATGAAAACAGAGCGAATCACTGCCAAGCTTTGCGTGGACGCGCAAAATGCTGAAGTGCCACTGGACTGCTTCCCAGCCCAATTTCTGGTTGTTTAGGCATTTAGTTCTTAGGGGATCTATTGACATTTCATATCAACAGTTTAACTTCGAGCAACGGATCAACAAACCACGAATAAGCAAAGTCATGGCACATCTCCAAAACTTGTCGCGTACGCTGCTCCTCCCACCTGGCTCTTGTCACCGCTTCCTCGAAGCCATCAGACTTGGACAGCAGCGGCAAGCTGCCATGTGTGTGTGTGTGTGTGTGCCTGGGTGTGTGTGTGTGTGCATTTCTTGTTGAGGGTATCCTTTTCGTTTTGCTTTAAACGGAAACCAACATGGACACGAAACATATGGGTCCCCTGTTTTATACCCACATGCGTTCGTTTGCATTGGCTCCCTTCCAGAAGTCCCCTTTCCCTTTAGCGAGGATAGATTGCAGTCGTTGACTTGCACCCACATGTGGTACGAGTGAAACATGAATATCTGGCATTCAGCCATCAATAATTAAGTTGTTAACAAGTAAGATGCCACCATCAACAAATAATCTGGGGTTTCTCAAAATAGCACCCCACCAAGAAAGAGAAATAACAAGGGAAGGGAAGTGGTTTAATGGAACGCCAGCAGACAACCAACCATTTGTCTTGTCTCATGAGAAGCCCTGGCAGGACGATCCCATGGATTTGGCGATGTTCAGAAAGACCTTGGTGGAGCCTTTTGCCTCAAATCGGATGCCTGAGGTGCCAAACAAAGTCCGCTCGGGGTTGGCGCCTGCTTTTTTTGAGGATACCCGCAAAAAGGATGGTCTTAGGGGGGCGTACTGCAGGTAGCCTTGGAAGATGAGCCTTGGAGACCCTTTTTGGGGTTCAAAAAGAAGGCCAAAAGGCAAACCACGATTTTTGTTTCGATGCCCATGTGTCTATGATGGGAGAGATGGAGATGGGGGAAAGTGACAAAGCCAAACACACCGAAGGACTGGAAACAGAGCCGTATCGCATGCGAGAGCGTCAGAAGCCGACCGAGGCACAACATCGACCCCAACATCTTCGGTGTGGGAAAGGCTCGGTGACTTTCTGACTGTGTGGCGTTCCTCAAAACTGGCAACCCCACTGTAGGTTGGTTTTGAAGAAATACCCATTAAAGACCGCTCTTCATGGTTCCACCTTCGATTTTGGGCCATTTGTTTGGGTTTTCGATCACCAGAACCAAAGCTATTTCTTATGTATATGATTATACCAGTGAATTCTACACAAGGTGGGTCCCCAGGAAGTGGGAAACCGGATATATGTATGCAATCTAATGTAATGTAATGCAATGTATTGTAATGTGATGTAATGCAATGTGATGTACTGTAATGTAATGTAATGTAATGTATTGTAATGTCACGTAATGTAATGTATTGTAATGTCACGTAATGTAATGTAATCTAATGTATGCAATGTAATGTAATGTGATGTAATGTAATGTATGCAATGTAATGTAATGTTTATTGTAATGTAGTGTACTGTATCGAAATGTAATGTAATGTCATGTAATGCAATTATGTATGTATGCATCTAATGTAGTGCATTGTAGTGCAATGCACTGTGATGCAATCTAATGCAATGTATTGTCATGTAATGTATTGTAGTGTAATGTATTGATATGTGCTGTAATGCCATGTAATGCACTTATGTATGTATGTAATGTAGTGCAACGTAATGCAATGCAATGTGATGAAATGTAATGTAATGCAATGTAATGTAGTGTAATGTATTGAATTGTAATGTAATGTCATGTAATGCAATGATGTATGTATGCATGTAATGTAGTGCAATGTAATGCATTGCAATGTGATGTAATGTAGCGTAATGTAATGTACTGAAATGCAATGTAATGTAATGTGTATAATGTATGCATGCATGCATGCATGTATGTATGTATGTATGTATGTATGTATGCATAGTACATACATTGATAGATAAATACATACATATTATGTATTTATCCAGCAATGTATGTATGTATGTATGTATGTATTGTATGTATGTATGTATGTATGTATGTATGTATGTATGTATGTATGTATGTATGTATGTATGTATGTATGTATGTATGTATGTATGTATGTATGTATGTATGTATGTATGTATGTAATGTATGTATGTATGTATGTATGTATGTATGTATGTATGTATGTATGTATGTATGTATGTATGTATGTATGTATGTATGTATGTATGTATGTATGTATGTATGTAATGTATGTATGTATGTATGTATGTATGTATGTATGTATGTATGTATGTATGTATGTATGTATGTATGTATGTATGTATGTATGTATGTATGTATGTATGTAATGTATGTATGTATGTATGTATGTATGTATGTATGTATGTATGTATGTATGTATGTATGTATGTAATGTATGTATGTATGTATGTATGTATGTATGTATGTGTATGTATGTATGTATGTATGTATGTATGTATGTATGTATGTAATGTAATGTATGTATGTATGTATGTATGTATGTATGTATGTATGTATGTATGTATGTATGTATGTATGTAATGTATGTATGTATGTATGTAATGTAATGTAATGTAATGTAATGTAATGTAATGTATGTATGTATGTATGTATGTATGTATGTATGTATGTATGTATGTATGTATGTAATGTATGTATGTATGTATGTATGTATGTATGTATGTATGTATGTGTATGTATGTATGTATGTATGTATGTATGTATGTATGTATGTATGTATGTATGTATGTATGTATGTATGTATGTAATGTATGTATGTATGTATGTAATGTAATGTAATGTAATGTAATGTAATGTAATGTAAGTATGTATGTATGTATGTAATGTATGTATGTATGTATGCATGTATGTATGTATGTATGTATGTATGTATGTATGTATGTATTGTATGTATGCATGTTTGTATGTATGTATGTATGTATGTATGTATCTTTTAATGTAATTTATGTAGGTATGTATGCATGTATGTATGTATGTAATGTATGTATGTATGTATGTACGGACGGACGGATGTATGTATGTATTTATGTATGTATGTATGTAATGTAATGTAATGTAATGTAATGTAATGTAATGTAATTTAATGTAATGTAATGTAATGTAAGTATGTTATGTATGTATGTATGTATGTTTGTATGTATGTAAGTATGTATGTATGTATGTATGTATGTAATGTATGTAATGTATGTATGTAATGTAATGTAATGTGTAATGTGTAATGTGTAATGTTTAATGTGTAATGTGCAATGTGTAATGTGTAATGTAATGTATGTATGTATGTATGCATGTTATGCATGTATGTACATACGTACGCACGTATGTAACATATGTATGTATGTATTGAGGCTTGCATGCACGTGTGTATGCATGTTATGTATGTATGTATGTATGTACGGACGGACGGATGTACGTACGTACGTGCGTATGTATGTATGTATGTATGTATGTATGTATTGAGGCATTCATGTACGTGTGTATGCATGTTATGTATGTATGTATGTAATGCAATGTAATGTAATGTAATGTAATGTACTGTACTGTACTGTAATGTAATGTAATGTAATGTAATGTAATGTAATGTAATGTATGTATGGTATGTATGTAATGTATGTATGTATGTATGTATGTATGTATGTATGTATGTATGTATGTATGTATGTATGTATGTATGTATGTATGTATGTATGTATGTATGTATGTAATGTAATGTAATGTATGTATGTATGTACGTATGAATTTATGTATGTAATGTATGTATGTATGTATGTATGTAATGTTTGTATATATGTAATATGATGTAATGTAATGTATTGTAATGTAATGTATGCATGTATGTATGTATCAGATGTACGTATGTATGTAATGTATGTATGTATGTATGTATGTATGTAATGTATGTATGTATGTATGTATGTATGTATGTATGTATGTATGTTATGTATGTATGTATGTATGTATGTATGTATGTAATTACTGTATGTATGTATGTATGTATGTATGAAATGTATGTATGTATGTATGTATTGTAATGTAATGTAATGTAATGTAATGTATGTATGTATGTATGTATGTATGTAATGTACTGTATGTATGTATGTATGTATGTATGTATGTATGTATGTATGTATGTATGTATGTATGTATGTATGTATGTATGTATGTATGTATGTATGTATGTATGTATGTATGTATGTATGTATGTATGTATGTATGTATGTATGTATGTATGTATGTATGTATATATATGTATGTATGTATGTATGTATGTATGTATGTATGTATGTATGTATGTATGTATGTATGTATGTATGTATGTATGTATGTATGTATGTATGTATGTATGTATGTATGTATGTATGTATGTATGTATGTATGTATGTATGTATGTATGTATGTATGTATGTATGTATGTATGTATGTATGTATGTATGTATGTATGTAATGTATGTATGTATGTATGTATGTATGTATGTATGTAATGTAATGTAATGTAATGTAATGTAATGTAATGTAATGTATGTATGTATGTATGTATGTATGTATGTATGTATGTATGTATGTATGTATGTATGTATGTATGTATGTATGTATGTATGTATGTATGTATGTATGTATGTATGTATGTATGTATGTATGTATGTATGTATGTATGTATGTATGTATGTATGTATGTATGTATGTAATGTATGTAATGTATGTATGTATGTATGTATGTATGTATGTATGTATGTATGTATGTATGTATGTATGTATGTATGTATGTATGTATGTATGTATGTATGTATGTATGTATAATGTATGTATGTATGTATGTATGTATGTATGTATGTATGTATGTATGTATGTATGTATGTATGTATGTATGTATGTATGTATGTATGTATGTATGTATGTATGTATGTATGTATGTATGTATGTATGTATGTATGTATGTATGTATGTATGTATGTATGTATGTATGTATGTATGTATGTATGTATGTATGTATGTATGTATGTATGTATGTATGTATGTATGTATGTATGTATGTATGTATGTATGTATGTATGTATGTATGTATGTATGTATGTATGTATGTATGTATGTATGTATGTATGTATGTATGTATGTATGTATGTATGTATGTATGTATGTATGTATGTATGTATGTATGTATGTATGTATGTATGTATGTATGTGTATGTATGTATGTATGTATGTATGTATGTATGTATGTATGTATGTATGTATGTATGTATGTATGTATGTATGTATGTATGTATGTATGTATGTATGTATGTATGTATGTATGTATGTATGTATGTATGTATGTATGTATGTATGTATGTATGTATGTATGTATGTATGTGTATGTATGTATGTATGTATGTATGTATGTATGTATGTATGTATGTATGTATGTATGTATGTATGTATGTATGTATGTATGTATGTATGTATGTATGTATGTATGTATGTATGTATGTATGTATGTATGTATGTATGTATGTATGTATGTATGTATGTATGTATGTATGTATGTATGTATGTATGTATGTATGTATGTATGTATGTATGTATGTATGTATGTATGTATGTATGTATGTATGTATGTATGTATGTATGTATGTATGTATGTATGTATGTATGTATGTATGTATGTATGTATGTATGTATGTATGTATGTATGTATGTATGTATGTATGTATGTATGTATGTATGTATGTATGTATGTATGTATGTATGTATGTATGTATGTATGTATGTATGTATGTATGTATGTATGTATGTATGTATGTATGTATGTATGTATGTATGTATGTATGTATGTATGTATGTATGTATGTATGTATGTATGTATGTATGTATGTATGTATGTATGTATGTATGTATGTATGTATGTATGTATGTATGTATGTATGTATGTATGTATGTATGTATGTATGTATGTATGTATGTATGTATGTATGTATGTATGTATGTATGTATGTATGTATGTATGTATGTATGTATGTATGTATGTATGTATGTATGTATGTATGTATGTATGTATGTATGTATGTATGTATGTATGTATGTATGTATGTATGTATGTATGTATGTATGTATGTATGTATGTATGTATGTATGTATGTATGTATGTATGTATGTATGTATGTATGTATGTATGTATGTATGTATGTATGTATGTATGTAATGTATGTATGTATGTATGTATGTATGTATGTATGTATGTATGTATGTATGTATGTATGTATGTATGTATGTATGTATGTATGTATGTATGTATTGAGTATTGAGGCATGCATGTACGTGCATGTATGCATGTTATGTATACGTGTGCGTGTGTATACATGTATGCACACAAGGATCCATGGTCAGCAGTCGAGCCCAGGCCAAGGGCATCGAACAGTTGGCGAAGGAGGTTGAGACTGGCGCCTCCAGGCATGCCACTGGTGCAGGTTTTAGGTTCGAATAGGAGTATTGGATTGAATGGCTTCGCACTCGGCTTCTACCCCAATCAAATTGGGGGGGAGGAATGTGATAGCTAGTCAGCTTGATCCCTCGCGAGGCTCATGTTGGATGCCCAGCAGCACAAGAAGCTTGCCAGAACCTGAGTCAGTCCGCAGTTTTTGATCAGAACACAAACCCAGGGATCACCCCCTGCGTGGGGAATTACCGCCCCCCCCCCCAGATTTTACCCTAGCTTGGGGGAGTCAAAACCTGGAACGATTGGGTCTGATCTTCAGGAGCTTGGCCATCTGTTTTTCGCGGCAGGTGCGTGTGGTCGACATTGTTGTTCTGCCGCGGCCCCAAGAAATTTGGCGCGTGGGGCTCTGAAGTTGGCGCCTTCTCAGCGCCATTTGCTGTGGGGGCGGAGGAAGCTGCGCCCTGCTGATGGCTCTTGTCTGTTGGTCGAGTTCAAGGCGGGTGCGGTTGAACGAGTCGCACGGCACGGTGGCACTTCGCGAGGAGAAATTCCCGGACGAGCGCGAGCGTGAGACGATGCGCCTTCCTGGCACAAAGAAGGACACCGCAGTCTCAGTCGGGCGATGTGGAATTGTGCACATCGGCGTCCGTGGTCAGTGTGGTTGAAGATGTTGAAGATAGATGGCACTGCTTTCAGTTAGGTTTCAATGATTTACCAGTGGAATAAGTAATCAAAACCCAAGCTGATTGCAGTGCCTTCTATTTTCAGCCAAACTGACTACAAAGGACACCTTCGAGGATTTCACCTATGTTTCCCAAAGAGTGCCTGGAGTTGCATCGCGTTTCTTGTTAGGAGCCGCATGAGAATGCTAGGCGGGAATTCTGAGTGCAGCTTTGCTCTCACACGCAAAAGCAACAAAGCACGTTTGCGCAGGCAGACTTCGGAGCGAATCCTCAAGGAGATGATGAATATGGACCCCAGCATGGCATCTCGGATTTGACAATGGTTTGATCCAATTCTGATGCGAGACGTTCTGGCAGAGATGACCTTGTGCAGGTCACCTTCGATTTCTCCTCTGTTGAGCGGCAAGAGGAGGAAACCGACTCGATTTCATTTCCCGCTGGCAGCTGAGTGTCCCTTCCGTTCTCCAAGATGCAGAAGACGCGCCTCTGGGGTGAAATTGTTGACTTCCAGAACCCAACCCCATTTTAGTGGGTGGTTCTGCTGCTTGGTCCTGTGGTGGACAAAGTATGGTCTACGGAAACACATTTGACTTGTTTGACCATCTTGGTAGAACCCAAAGTGAATGACGTTTATTTGAAGTGGCATGGGGCTTGACATGGGCTGAAGAGCATGCCTTGCTCCAAGGGCGTGACCACCGTCTACCGCAAGGAGCTGGTGGAATGCAAGGTGACAACCCCTGACAAGGCTGTCCTGGGATTGCGAGTTTTCCCATTTGGGTGTGTCTTTTGCGAGGGCACCCATGTTTTGTCGGTTTCAAGGGAAGCCAAAACATCGGCGTGGGATTTGAGGCCACTCTCCAGCAGGCGCGCCCGGCGGTTTCGCCCGTGAGTCTGGCCGGAGTCTGCAATCGCAACCGAGTTGAAGCCCTGCAGGGTGTCAGGATCCTGCGAAAAACACTTTTAGTTCGCCCAGGTTTCAGGAGACGGCAGGTTGCACGCTAGCTTACATTCACAGATTTTGACTCGTGGCTGGTCTTTGGTGTGTCCCTCAGACCTTGTAGGCCTTTCCATGAAGCCTACAAAAGGCACAACTGATTGAACCTGTTGGGGAGGAAGAGCAACCCTGCTATGGCTCAGTATACTCGAGGCATTTGTATCCCTCGGGCTCAGGTTGGCTTGCCCGGACTGTCGCAGTGGCATGCCACAGACGCTCAGGCCAGCTCACGAATATCCAGGATGGTTTCCCCTGCCCCGCAAGCCACCCCATCGATTCAATATACAAGCAGAAAAACAGCAACTACATAAAAGGCTGCGTAACTTGTTTCATTTGGGAATCGTTTGGGGAATCGGAGAGGTCCGACAATGTGCTTACCGACACAAGGGGACTGGGCCGCAGGGCAACACCAAGTTCTTCATGTGGCTTACCGACACCGAGGCGGAGGCCAAGAAGGCCAGAGAGAAGAGTTGGTACCCTTTTCTGGGGTGGAAGGGAAGCTACAAGGGTTTACAGGGTGGAAAGGGCTTTTGGGTTGTTATGTGTTTTAGGCTTAGGGAAGCCAAAAGGAAAGCAACAATTATTTTGGGGGCCCTTTTTTGACACGTACCCACATGCACCTATTGTCGATGAATGTTCAGAAAAGACCCGGCCCCAATATTTTGAGACAAACCTTACTACACCTTGCTGATTGCAGGAGTGTTTCCTCCCAAATTCAAGGATCCTCTGAACTTCTCTATTTCCCGTTGAGAAATCCAGCGTTTCCCTGGCCAAAAAAGCTGGACGACTCCGAGCGAGCCCGCTGCTTCCAATGACCATGCAAGGCGAAGCATCGTCGGGGTGTTGGGGGGGGAGCTTTTGTATTTTTCCCCCCGACACCCTCAATTTTCAAGCCTGCGTGCTTACCCAGTCTTTGTGTGTCCGAAACAGGTTCTAACAAGCGGGTTCCGATCGCTTCCACATGATTTGTGTAGCATCCAGAGCCAAAAGCAAACAACAAGCAATTGTGATCGCACCCATACGGGTCAGTCTCCAGTCTTTGGCAGATGTGCCTTAGTTTCCTCGCCATCGCGAGGTCAAGCTAAAGGTGCATGGCTCTCACGTCTTTGCCTCAGGACGCCTGAGAAGTGAGCACAACCCCCCCCAATCCAAAGTAGGATTTGTAGTGGAGCCCATAGAAACTTGCATATGCGCTTGTAGAACCAGAAGTCGGGTTGTGGACGCTAATTCCAGTGCAGATGTTCCATGGCTCTGACTTGCAGAAGGCACACTTTTCCCGATCAACATAAATACCTGATCAGATCTCGACGCTGGTGCGTGCCCCTATCGGCTTGGACGAGGAGGCATGGTTTGGCACGCAGCTCCAAGACATGGACGCGTAGCGTTCCTTGAATCGCTTGCGCGGTCGGCCAGGCTCTCAGGGAATACTTGAAGACCAACGGGTGCGCTCAGATTTGCTGAAGGGTGATGTGCTTGTTCCCAGCGGGGCATTGATCATAGGAAAGCGCCTGCCTTTTGGCCAGGATTGATATCAATCAGTTCGGCCAGAATGGCACCAAGCACCGGGCTCAGAATATGGCCTTGCTGTTTTTGCTGAAAGGGACTAGCTGTTTCCATCCGAAAGTTGGACCTTTGAATGCCAACTTCACCTCTTTGGGAATTGCGGCAGGGTGCCATTTGTGTTCGTAAGTTCTCCACATAACTCACGGATGCACTGGCACGCTCAGACAGAAGAAACTGACAAGGCACAGAAATAGATAGATTCATTCGCAGAAGACGAACCTCTGCAAGGCAACTGCGGGCCTCTCAAACGGAGATAAATTGGAGGCAACATTCATGCATTTGTCGGGGTGTTCCCTATCAAACGTCGTAGCGCATTTGATTTGTTGATTGGTCTTCATAGAATAATCCCACAATTTTGGGTTGCCAAATCAATGACCCCCCCCGCCCCGGCCCGGAAAGAAAAAAGAGAAAAATCGACTCAAGGAGCTTGAAAGAGTTCTCCTCGGAGTTGATCAAGGGCGAGACGCGACTGCTGCAGGCAGAATCGTACCAGGTAGACGCAGACACGGGTATGCCATTTTCGGAGGGAGCCCTTTTTCAGTTGCTTTTGAAACCAAAGGGACACCTTCCCTGCCCATACCCGGTAAAGGAGAACCACTTGGACTACGTTTAGCTTGGAAATCCCAAAATGGCACCCTGGCGTGTGGGTTGCCAACAGGTTGACGGAGAAATCCTGGTCATCACAGAGGTGCGCGCATATCTCACTATGGCGAGTCTTTGGTCGTTCTTCATGAACTGGATGCTCGCAGGTGGTCATGCTGATCCTCACCAACTCAGCCAACAAGGAAACCCTGATACAGGTCGGCCAGGCGGGCGGCTGTGTCCGATTTCAGGGAGTTTTCGAGAACGTAGGGTGTTCAGCTTTCCTGTTATTGGTGGTTTGGGTTGGTGGTTTGGATTCTTTTGGATTGGTGTTCTGGGGGGTTCCCATTTTGTCCCAAGAACTACAGGTTCAAATCTCCAAACCTCTAAACCTCCCATGGTGTGCGGAGATGTTCGCCAGGTTTGGCCAGATGGGAAGACCAGTACCCAGGCCCGCATTCCGGGGGCCAAGCGCAGTCTGGGCCCCAAGATGCCTTGGGCGTGTGTGTGTGCGTACCGTTTTTGGGCGGTTTCAAGTTACACTTCAAAGGGACACGAATGGAAAGCCAGCGTTTTAGGGGGGTTCCCTATTGAAAGACCCACTGGATCTTGGATTTCTGAGGGCCGGATGAGAACCAGTTCCTTTGCGCCCGGCGCATTTTGAAGAGGCGAGCTCCAGCACACACCGCAGAATTCACGTTTATGTTCCCTCTGGAATAGGCAGCTCGAGATAGACGAGAATGCAGTTGGCTGCCTCAGCATCGATGCTTCCAGCCATGCTTTGGCATCACATGTGTGTGTGTGTGTGTGTCCGTCTTGTCTGGCCTTTGTCTTTCTCTTGTGTTGGTCTTTGGTCTTTGTCTTTGGTCTTTGTCTTTGGTCTTTGTCTTTGTCGTTGTCTTTGTCTTTGTTTTTGTCTTGTCCTTGTCTTTGTCTTTGTCTTGTGTTTGTCTTGTCCTTGTCTTGCGTGTTTTTGTCTTTGTCTTGTTTGTTTTTCTTTGTCTTGTCTTGGTCTTGTCTTGTCTATCTTGTTTGTCTATCTTGACTTGACTGTTTGTCTTGTGCGTATGTCTTGTCTATCCGTGTCTGTGTCCGTGTCTGTCTGTGTGTCTTATTGTGTCTTCGAGCCTGGGACCATTTTCTCATCTTGGTTTCCAGGACGACCAAAAAGAACGGTCTGACTCCCTATTTCGACGAGCCATACCCCCATACGCGCTATACCTCAGGCCACGAGCCTTCCTTTTGGTACGTGTCAAACTCGGGTCTACCAAAAAAAACGGAAGCCAAGCTTCGGGATTCGGGCGGGTTACCGCTTCCGTTTCTTGAGCCTTCGCACCTCCGGGCGGTTCCGTAGGTCCGCATCTCCCAAGACGTGGGATACCTCGAGGAGGACCGCAGCTCCAAGAGTCGGCGCCCGAGAGCTTTGCCGCTTTTTGGCCGAGGGGGTTCTCCCCCGGTTGGGTGTGAGGGCACCCCCTGCTTGTAGATTCTGTTTGGTTGTTTTTGAAGGGAAGCCAAAGGGAAGCAACCGTTGCGCCAAGGGTTTCTCCTGAAAGGGGACGCAACGCTGATGGGGTTTCCGTTGGAACTTGTATGGGTCTGAGCACTCAACGTCAGCTCCCATGGGCTGAAGTGGCCACGTCGCTTGGCGAGCAATACAATCAGTTCCCCCCCAAAACCAAAATGGCTGGCTTCTGCGTTCTTTTCCTCTTTGAAACCCTCTCTTGGTTTCGCTGAACAAAGCCACAAAGAAGGGGTGCCCTCAACAAAAAGAGACACATTTGGTCTTAAAGGGGGTTTTAGCCTATTTTGAGACAAACCCTAACAACGAGCAGCGCTGGTCCGCGGTATGTGGGTACTTGTTTCTGAAAAGTGTGTCACAGTATGGACCGGAAAACTTTGTTGAAACCATCGCCTGGTGGTCCAGAGTGGATTGGTAAAGCTAACCCGCAAAGCAGACTCACACCAAAACTATTCCATGCAAAAACCTGTGCCCGAGGTTATCCTGGTCTGAAGACGGCGCGCCTGTCCGGACATGGTATCTACTTGAGATGCGGCTGTGAAGTTTAATGGGGGACCCCGCCTTAAAGGTGGTTGGTGGGCATAACATTTCCCGAAATTTGGTGTCCGCCACAGGCTGTGTCCGGGACTCAACATTGCTCCAGTGCGCCTCTGGCAGCCTTTGGCAGGTGTATAGGAAGAGAGTCATCAAGGGGGAGGTGATCCCTGGTGCTTGGCTTAGCGATCGTAGCCGCGCAGATCGCGGCGCTAGCGCTGCTTCGCGGTCTGGGGACAGGAAGACACGGAAGCGTGTGTGTGTGTGTGTTGTTTGGAGGGACCCTGTTCGGGTTGACTGAAAGGAACTAGAATGAAACCAACCATGTTTTTGGAACCCTCCGATTGTGCCACGTTTCCCAACCTGGCAGAAACGGGGACTCGGACAGGCATCTGACTTTGTTGGAAGCAGACAGTCGCAAGCTGAAGAAGTTTGCAGCGTGTCCTGGCAACAGAAGATCCGGGCAGCTTGCGCACAACATTTGGACTGAAGTTCTCCAGCCGCAGGCCGCAGGTGAGAAGAGTTCACATTGTTGGAATGCGACTACTTGTCGGTAATTTCCAGTCACGAGCCGCCCTCTCGTGCTGGTTTTTCGTGGTACACCCAAAGGCCCACAAGCAGTTTGAAGAATCCCCTATATATATATATATATATACACGTTCTTACGTTGTTCAAACCGAGCTGGACCAGTTTGGAAGGTGCGGCATGATGTCGTGTGCGCTGGGCCCGCTAGGGAATATGAATGATTTTATATAGCAGAGCTTGACACGGCATGCCGTGAGTTGACCAGTTGTATTGAAGTGCGAGGCTACATGGCAGTACGCCACGCCAGACCTGATGACGTTGATGTCATGACATATTGTGTGTTTGATGTGCTTGGCTAAGGCTTTGCGTGCTACGACCATTGTGGCACGCTGCAACAACAGGATGTGACCTGAAATGGCATGATAGGATGTGATAAAGTACAGTCTTCATCGGTATTGCATGGCTGTTAATTTTTCTGATTTTGTTTTTTACTGGGTGGCGGCAAAAAACACGCAGTTTTATCTCACCCTGCGAAGAATTGGGCAGCAATGCAACTTGTTGAATGGCTCAAAGTGCGAGCTGGGAAGCATTGCCAAGTTTTTTCAAGGTCAACGTTGTGAGATGACTGGCTGACAGAAGCATCAGAAAATAGGGGACCCCTCCAACATGGTGGTCTTTCTTTTGGTTCCCCTTTTAAGCCTCCCTCGAAAGACAAGCCCGTATCCTTTGGCATAAGAGCTTCGGATGCATGATTGCGATGGCTTTGTGGTGACATGGACTCCTTTTCCTGCTTGTCCAGTCTCATTTTCAGCATGGTCGTGGAACATTCGGTGGGGGTTTTAGGTTGCCACTTTCTGTGATACCAGTGAAACTCAATTTGAAGTGGTTTCCCGTGGTCATGGGGACGGACAACCCACTTTGGTATCACTTTCGGGGGGATTTTCCACGTCTTTCTTTGATGTGTCCCTTTTTGACACCTTTTTTTTGGTGGTTTTGAAGGAACACCCGAAGGACAACACACCGCTTTGGGGGTTCCCGAACAAAGACCCCCCCTCCCCGGCAGGTTTTTTCAGTCCTGACCCTCAGGTGCTTAAAGCACCCGCTGGTTTCGTGTCGAAGAACACGCAGCCAGGCGAGAGAAAGCGTTGGAAGCGCCGGGTTTTCGTGCTTTGCTGTCGCAGAATGGTGGGTTTTCTTTGGGTTTCTTGTTAAGACCACGAACAGAAGCGGGCATTTTCTGGGGAAACTTGAAGGGGATCTGGCTTCGAAGCCGCGAGGTTAGCTTGGTCTTCACTAGGCCGCCAGCCCAGAGAGCTGAAATGGAGCCATGGTGAGAGTTCAGCGCTTCCCCGTGATAAAGTTGGGGATGTGTCAAAGGGGGAACCTCAAAAATGGGTGCTGCGTGGGTCCCCTGGAACACAACCTGAAAGGCTACCCTTCGCCTCAAAACCACACCAACAAACCACCCAAACCTCTAGGGGCTTCCAGGGATCCTTCTTTCTACAAAACCACCAAAAAGCAGGGGACATGGCGATCGGTTTTTGAAAAGAATGGCTGAAAAGAACGGAAAAGGAATCAACCCGTGGCAAACCAGTGGATCCCACTTGACTTTGGCACTTTCGAGTGTCAGCCTCAGGGAGCCCAACAGTGAGCCCGCCTCCGGCGCTCCCAGGAGTCAGCCCTGGGAATTCGACCCCGAAAGCTTGGGTCGTGGAAACCGCCGCCGCGAGCCTTTCGTAGCCAGCCTTTCCATATGAAATTCAGGCGGTCTGTGGGAATGCCATGGGCCATGGACTTGTCTGAGCCACAAGGCGCGTGTTTGCAGGTATGTGGGCCATAGGGCATTTTTTTTCCTGAGCAGCAACCGCAGGTTTTTAGTCGATGTCTCCCCATTTTCAAAAGGGTAGCCCATTTTGGGGATATCAACTTTTTGGCCCACAGCCATTTACCGTGCCATTTGTCTGGTCAGAAAGGAGGGGAAATTGAGACCAAACTCCATGGTGCTCGAATCCCATGGCAGCGCCAAGCATTGCCCACGAGTGTTTTTGACTTGACGGGTCCGAAGGCGCCATGCGCGCAGACAAGCCATTGGAGCCATTGAAACTTTGAAGCGCCTGCCATTTCTTTACCGGATCTGGCGTTTTTACGCTTGTCCGCGTTGAGCCGAAATTCTTCTAGCAAGGGCACATTTGCATACGTGAAGTGATTTCTCACCCCGCAAAAGCGCGGGCTCCACTGGAGACCCTTGGTGTCCGGGCTTCTGCATGAAGCTGCAGAAGACCAGTGTGACACCATCCACAAGTGAGGTCCTATCCCCTTTCAAATTGTGACTGGAGATAGGTGCAACAAAGGCATCAAATCCAGTGCAACTCGTGTCACCAAATACAAGTACTTTTCTTTTAACGGCAGCACTCAAGGTGTGAAAATGATTTTGCCTTTCGCCGCACTTGCGAGCGTTTGATTTTCTGCACCTGAAATGCGCGACAGCAGGAGGCAGACCATCCCTGGCTAAGTGCGATCGGAGAGCAGACATCGCCATGGCTCCACTCTTTGGTGGCATCTCAGTTGTCAACTCAACTCACGAGTTGAGCTGTAGCTACCGACGAAGGAACACGGTCAACTTGACCCAAGGAAATCATCTGGTAGCGACAGCGCTGGGATGGCCGCATGCTGATGTCATGGCCATGCGCAGAGGAGGCTGACGAATGAACGCAGGGTTGGTTGCAGGCCCTGGTTGCCTTAAGCCAAAAGGAGGTGGCTTGGTTCCGCAGTTGCTTGGACTCACTTTCTGTTTTGTCCGGGCTTTTTTTGCAGCTCGGAGGTTTGAACCAACCGGCCTCGAGTCGACTTTTTCCACCTCGCCAGACCAGGTTTCTTGCTCCTGGCCCTGCTGGGAGGCGCGTGCCACATTTGGGCGAAAAACGTTGGAGGGTCATTGTTTGGGCATGGGTGAAAATTAAACCACCAGAGGAACGCAGGTTTTAGTCCATGTTTCTATTTACCAGGGTTCCGCTTTGGGTACCTATTTTTGACCCACACCCAGCTTGCTTTTGGTTTTCCTATGGTTGGAAGGGAGAAGTTACGGAGCTTTCTTGGTCAGGTGAAAAGGGTGGGAGCTGGTACTTGGTCTTGTGTTTGGTCAATCACCTGCCACTTCCAGAGGCTTTCCTTAGGTTGGGGATGTACGGATTTGCTTTATCAGGTTAGAAGGATGGGTAACGAAAAGTGGAATCAATTCTTGGAAACACCAGTGATTTAACAACTGCATGGTATGACTTGGTATGACTTTGATGGTAAAATCACGAGGCTAGATAGACACAGTGGTGGATGAACGAAATCCTGCACCTAAGAAACCATAGGAGACTATCGTTCTGCAACCTCAGTGGAATCAAATCAGAAACCAGGGTTTCTGAATGGTGCGAAATGGATTTTGCAACCCTCCACAGTATGCTTGACCGCTTGAGTGACCATTCCTTTGAGCAGTGCGAGGCCTGGGCTTCTGCCCTTCCCTTCCAACGAGTCGCAGGATGGATGCGGGGCGTCGAACACTGAGTCGAACGTCTTCATCGCAGCGGAATCGTTGGGTGGAAACCAAAGCGAAACCACCAATGTTGATTTTGGACCCCCCGTTTAAAGACAACATCCATGCGCGCTTCGTCACATTTTCCGATGATTTGTCTGTGAAGTCCCTTGAGACGGACGAGAAGTGGGAATTCACGAAGTTTCAACCACAAAAACCAGAAGCCGCGCCGTCATTTTCTCCTGTCTTTCGGGGGAAACAAGCAACGACCGTGGCTCGTGGCCAGTCGAGTTTGTTGCTTGAAAGGAGCCGGGTACCGCGAGCTGCACTTGATGACCTCACAGCTGAGATCGTGTCCACCCTGAAGGCTTCCTTGAGATTCCTGCGCTCGCTTTGGATGCCAGGGCCGAAAATTTAACTCAATATTCAAGGTTCGTTGCATCTCACTGGCTCAAAGCCGACTTCAAGTTTTTGGGTTGCCAGGTTTGGTCTGTTGGGGTTCCAAAAGCTCACAGCATGTTTTTCTTCCGGGCAAGCAAATAGGTACTTGGATCCGGGATGGTCTTAGCAAGCCTTACAGCATTGAGAAGGGCAATGTGGATACCAATTCTTTTTGGGGTTTAGAGCGCAAGGCCCAGAAGCGAATATCCATATTGTCCATAAAACTATGTGTAAGAGCATCTAGGCTTGGCAGGAAGAATCTGGCGAGACTGCGCAAGTCAAGTTGTGCAAATGCAGGCTTCTGGATGCAAGTCGTACCAGCAAGTTGTAGCAGATTTACTGCTTTCGGGCCACCCGTCTTCTAGTTGTTTTGGTCCTGTTCATGTTTAGCAGGGGGCTGCAAAAGCAAACACTGTTTGTTGCTACCAGCGGGTCTACAGAAATCCTTAAAAGCAGCTCCGTCGCAGGTGGCGCAGCTGCGGGAAGAGCTGCGCGGCGCGGGTTTGGACGACAGCGGCGTGAAGAAGGCCTTGGTGCAGCGCAGGGGAGCCCAGGCGGGTGGGGCCATTTGATCGTGGATGAGGCAAACCTTTGCTGGTGCTCAGGAAATCCATTAGGGGTGGTTTGGTGGGGAATGAACCCAGGCGTCTTAAAAGAAAACAACAGTTGGATGGTTTGGTGGCTGGGATTGGTGGCTTAGATTTGGATGTGAAGCTGTGGTCCTCGGGAAAGGGGTTTACCAGCCCTCAACCACCAACCACAATCCAAACAACGAATCATAGGGAAGCTGAAGATGGACAGGTGTTGATTGCAAACAGGCGGACCCTGGTTGAGGACTGGCGCTCGAGCCACGAAAACCGAGAAGTTCTGGAAAAGGGCAATACCTGGAAATGTGGTTCTAGCAAAGCCCACGCTAGCCTTATGCGCATGTTAGACCAAAAGTCAAGGTGGGTTTCGCGCGCTCATTTGTTCCTGCCGGACCTTGCTGTTGTGTTTCTCAAAATGGCGGAATTGAACGGGAAACCATCATGAGGCCAATGAGTTCAGATTTTTGGTGATTGACGCCTAAATCAACCAGGCTTTAGCCTAACTTGGCCCGGTGCCACCAATCACCCTCTCTCGCCGAGGTCTGACTGTCGCCATCGCCGATCGCTCTGGCGAAGTGCGTAAGGAGGCCTCAAAGGAGCCCGAGATGGAGCCGTTGCAGCCTGCGGTGCGCTTCGTCGTCAATGCTAGTGTCGGCCACATGGTGCTGGGCTGAGTAGCTGAACCGGGCAAACGTGTATTTTGGAGAAGAAAAGGCATCCTTTTCCAGTTGGTCTAGAGACACAGCAGGATGCGTTGGATTTCAAGAAGGCGTTAAGACTTTGCTTTGGACAGACACAATGACTTTTGTGGGTTATCTTGTTTGTCGGCTTTCTCCCAAAGTGTGTTTACGGAAAGGTCAGGCTGCAATTGCAGGCATTGCTTTGCCGTGTTTGGTCTTATGTCCACTCCACCAACTCCAAGCTTCAATGCTATGGTGTTTCTCAGAATATGGGAACCCCCGCCAAGTGGTTGGTTTTGCTTTGGTTTCCCTCTGAAGCCAAACCGGGTCCATGTTTTGCGACAGAAAGCCATTTGTCACGAGGCTAGAGTTGTCAGCCTGCCTGACGCCGACCATCTGCTGGTGTTGGGGGACTTTACAGGCCTGGTTTTTGGAAGCAGGATGGCCTTCAAATGAGGGTGTTATTATTGAAGACTTATAGCTTGGTTTAAGGGAAACACAACAGGAAACCCGCAGCCATTTTATGGTCCCTCTACTTGACAACTCCGAATGGGCAACGGTTTGTATGTGCTGTCATCCGCCGTGCGGAAGTACAGGGATGATGCTAGGCACACCCAGTTTAACATACTGACCAACTATCTGTGCCAATTGACCATGACTTAAACAATTTTTCGGCACAGAGTGGAAACTGGAAACATGACAGATGTACGCGCAACTCTACCCCAACACGCTTTTCCGGCAGGGCATGCCTGTTGCCAGCAGGGGTTTTGACTGGGCTGTCCAAAGGCAATCCCTAATCCTAGCGAAGAGGGTTTGCCTAGTGGTTGTTCATTGGGGATTACGGATTAGGATTCCGCTATGTTGAACAGCCCATAATTGACTTTTATAGAATTCAACGACCCAAACATTCCTCCTTCAGGCCAAAGTTCTGCGCTCGTCCCTCAGACTTTCGGAATTTCGCAGCCGAAAAGCAGGGGCTGTTGGATGGTTTTCACACCTCCTAGTCTTTGGGTTGGTTTTGCCACCATGTTTTTTTGGTCGGTTTTCGTTTTTGTCTTGTTTTTGGCTGTATTTCACAGCGACCATTCCCAGGTTAGACGCAGAGGGACATGTGCTGTGGACTTCGAGCGCTGGGCTGGACTGGACTTCGGGCTCTGGGTGCAGTGGGCTTTGGGTGCTTCCTGGACATCGTTGACTACAAAACCACCAGTTGGAGGGAAGCTGATAGAATGCATGTTTGTTATCTCATCAATATTGTCACTCTTCCTCTGTTTGTAGAAGGGAATCGATCACTATATACTGAATGTTTGTTACTTAGTCATCTTTTTCTCTCTGTTGGTAGAAGGGAATCCAGAACTATTTAATGAATGTTTGTTACTTAGTCATCTTTTTCTCTCTGTTGGTAGAAGGGAATCCAGAACTATTTAATGAATGTTTGTTATTTAATGAAAATGATTCTTTTGCCCCTGTTGGTAGAAGGGAATCTACCACTATACAATGAATCTTTGTTGTTTAGTCAATATTGTCACTTTTCCTCTGTTTGTAGAAGGGAATCGATCACTATATACTGAATGTTTGTTACTTAGTCATCTTTTTCTCTCTGTTGGTAGAAGGGAATCCAGAACTATTTAATGAATGTTTGTTACTTAGTCATCTTTTTCTCTCTGTTGGTAGAAGGGAATCCAGAACTATTTAATGAATGTTTGTTATTTAATGAAAATGATTCTTTTGCCCCTGTTGGTAGAAGGGAATCTACCACTATACAATGAATCTTTGTTGTTTAGTCAATATTGTCACTTTTCCTCTGTTTGTAGAAGGGAATCGATCACTATATACTGAATGTTTGCTACTTAGTCATCTTTTTCTCTCTGTTGGTAGAAGGGAATCCAGAACTATTTAATGAATGTTTGTTATTCAAGCAAAATGATTCTTTTGGCCCTGTTGGTAGAAGGGAATCTACCACTATACAATGAATCTTTGTTGTTTAGTCAATATTGTCACTTTTCCTCTGTTGGTAGAACCGAATCTATCGTTGTATCATGAATGTGGGTTATTTAATCAACATTTTTCCTTTTTGCCCTGTTGGTAGAAGGGACTCTATCACTATATACTGAATGTTTGTTATGTAGTAAATATATATATATATATATATAGCCCCACTGTTGGCACAAGGGAATCTATCACTATATAATGATTGTTTTTCTTTGAAACAGCATTTTTGTATTTTGTCCGTTGGTAGAAGGGAGTCTATCACTGTTTGATGAATGCCCGTTATTATGATTTCTCTGTTGGTAGAAGGGAATCTATCACTATATATTCAATGCTTGTTATTTAGTGAAAACATATTTTCCCCCACTGTTGGTAGAAGGGAATCTATCCCTATTAAATGAATGGTTGCTATTGAACTAAACTTAATAGATTCCCCTGTTGGTAGAAGGGAATCTATCACTTTACAATCATAGTGATTTTTTCTTTTTTATTATTTAATCAACATTATCTTATGTTTTTCTGCTGGTAGAAGGAATTCTATCATCATTTCAGGAACATCTGTTTGTTGAATTACTGGTAAAATTTCCCCTGTTGGTAAAAGGGAATCTACCACTATGCAATGAATGTTTGTTATTCAGTGACTTTTTCCTCTGTTGGTAGAAGAGAATCTACCACTACATAATGAATATTTGTTATCTAGTTAACTTGTTCTCTCTCTGTTGGTAGAAAATAATCCATTCCAAAATATCATGAATGTTTGTCCCAAATATTCTTTCCTTGTTGGTAGAAGGGAACCTACCACTATAAAATGCATGTTTGTTATTTGCTATTTTGGCATTTTTTTGTCTCTTTTGTTGGTAGCTATCACTTTTTGATGAGGGTTTGTTATTGAATTAGACTTATTATTTTTGCACTGGTTGGTAGAAGGGAATCTATCACTATACAATGAATGTATGTTATTGAATTAGGCTTTTTCCCCCTCGTTGGTAGAAGGGAATCTGCCAGTATATCATGAATGTATGAAATTTAGTGATAATTATTATTTCTTCCCCTCTGTTGGTAGATATCACTGTATAGTGAATGTTTGTTAGTGAATTAAAATTATCATTTTTCCCCTGTTGGTAGAAGGGAATCTACCACTAGATAGTGAGTGCTTTTTATTTAGTGAAACCTATTATTTTTCTCTGTTGGCAGAAGGGAATCTACCACTATATAATGAATGCTGGTTATTTGTTACTTAGTATTTTCTTTTACTTCTTTTCTCTGTTGGTAGAAGGGAATCTATTGCTATTTAGTCAGTGATTGTTATTCAATCAACACTATTGTATTTTCCGTGTTTGTAGAAGGGCATCTATCACGACATACTGAATATGTATTATTTTAATCAGTATTATTGTATTTTCCAAGTTAGCAGAAGGGGATCTATCACCTACTAGACATATTTTTGTGGTATTTCCTGGGGACTTTTTGGTACACGGAGGGTTGGTGGAACAATAGACAGGTCGGTTTCAATGGCCTTCAAAAGGACGGGGTAGATCAAGTTTGGGGGTAAGCCGGCAAACCGACCCCTCAATTTCTTCCAGACGAACAACCCTGTGCACAGTGTCTCTCCTTTTGGGGTGGTTTAATGCGACACCTAAAACAAAGGTCAAGTTTTTCTGAGACACGACCATGTGTGAAGAAACGGTTGGCATTCAACTCTCACGAGGTATGTGTTAACATAGGCCAACAAACGGCGGGGGCGGTTTCCCTTTACACCCACCCCCAAAAAAGGTACTCAATAAAACACGGACCTGTTAGGGCCGTTTGAAGGACCGAACAACTCGCTTTTGTAGAAGCAAACATCAGAACCGGTCAAACAAGATCACACACACACACACACGCACATTCGCACACACACCCAAATGGGCTTGTATTTATTTGAGGGTACCCTTTTGGGGTTTGGTTTAAGGGCACACCAAAGGGGAAAACCTTTTTTAAGGCATTTAAGCAACTCCCACATGATGGGAAGACAGGCAACGAACAGAAAGAGCCTGAGGAGTCAATCTCGAACACTGCAGTGGTCGGATCTGACGTGCTGGAGCCTAAGCGAAATGCACATAGGCAAGTCCGGGCATGTGGGCCACGGGGTTCGCGGCGCAGGTTTTGTGCCAGCGGGTGGACGGGGCAAGTGCACGTCTCAGTCTAGCTCAGAATCCTCGCTGCATCTCTGGTACACTGTTGGACCAGGTCTGCGGGGATTCCCAAGGTCTAAAAGTGTCCAACCCCGAGATTCAGCTGAGGAATTTGCAAGCATTCAGAGCAGACACAGGACATGTTCATGCTAGCGCGGAGGAGCCTGCGATCCAAGAAAGGGCTCACAGACATGTGAGGTTTCCGCTGTGGCTGGGAAGGCGGCGCGGTGGACGAAGGCAAGGGCTGCATCCCAATTTGGACGTCTTTGCTGGTATGAAAAGGAATCATGGGGCAAACCCAGAATGTTCGTGCTGGTTCCAAGTTTAGGCATCTTTTCTTCTTCTTCTTTTTTCCCGGAGAGAGACACGGCCTGAGGATGTTGGAGTTGGGGAGCCATGACCTCAGGACAGGACTGGCTTCGTCTTACATTGGAACCTGCATGGGTGTTGTGTCGAGGATACCAGAAAAGGGACACCAACAGGGCGACCTCATCTTCTTGGGTCCCCTGATTTTGACATCCGCCAGCTGTTTGGGTAACAGTTCCCAGGTATGCCCGTGTCGCTGCCACATCCGCGCTGGCCATCTTTGGGGGCGGCAGCAGTGCAGCTGGCCGAGCGAAGCGATGTGATGGTTCGATTTCGCAGAGGAGCGCTCTGGAAAGCTCAGGTGCATCAGGTCGCCGGTGGACGCCCCAGCTTGCAGGTTCTTGGAATCAGGGAGCCATATGGGCGTTTCTGCAAATTGGGGACCCCTCGTTGTGGTTGCCTTTTGGTTTCCCTTTGAAGCCCCATCCAAAAAGGGGGTTCCCTACATTGAGATCCCCTAAATCAAAATGATGGTCCCCTGGGGCCACTGCGCACTCTGAGGTGTCGACACGTCGAGCGGGGATGTGCGCCGCTGCCTTGGTGCAGACGCCCCCGACCATAGATCCCTGCGGCTGCCCTTCTCATTCTTGACTTGTTTTTGAGTAAACCCGTTCAGCACTTTTTGATTATGACTCAGTTGGGCGTGTTTGTTTTGCACCCTCTTGGTTGTTCAAAAGGCGACCAAAAGGGTTCCATAGTATACTGTGGATGGACAACATCCTCCAACAGTTGGTAGGTGGTTTATCCCTCTTTTCGTAGGGTTTCATCCGCCCTACTGGTGCAGGATTTGTCCATCCACAGTATTCTGAGAGACGCCCCGCGTCACTTTGGCTGAGGCTACTGTCTGGATCCTGGCATCGGTGCTGCTCATGCCCTAGGCGACAGAAGTTTCGCAGACAGCCATGGAGTCTTCTCAAACCACCGCTTTGGGTGTTGTTTTTTTGGGAGTCGGTCCCTTCTCAGGAACCAAAATGATAGTTGACCCGGTGGGAATAGCGAGCAAATGGTTAGCCTTTTGGTTTCCCAATAAACACACACACACAAACAGTTACAATTCAACAGATTGGTCAAAAGGCCCCTCTCTTTCGAGCAATGACCCAGGTACCTCCAAAACGCTTGGCGTCCCTTTCAGACTTCCCTGAACAAAAACAACGCCAACACCTCCCCCTTGGGTCTCTTTTCCTTTTCCGCTCCAGGCACCCTCCGAGCCGCCCCCGTCCCCCTCTCTTTCCGGGTTTCGCTTCCGAGATCTGGACGCTCTGCGCGGCTGGCGAGCGCCTGCTGTGCGGGGGCAGCTGGACCAGGCGACCCAGATCCGATTTGGAGCGGAGGCTCGAGGAGTCTAAACCCTAAGGGTGGCTCAAAGAAGAAAAGCTCTCGTTCTTTTGTGTATTCGTTTCTTTGGTTAAGGGCCGCAGGTTGACATAGCGCATTTTGTTTGTTTTCATGGCAAGACATTATGAAGGGCGTGGGTCAGCTATGGGGAACTTGGGCCATTCGTTTACCCAACACTTGTGTGCTTGCGATCCGCAGGCCGGAACACACTGCCCATGTAGCAGGCTTGGATGCATCGTGCGGGTCTCGAAAGAGTTACCCGGGGAGAAGTTGCGGGTTCGAAAATCCGAGCTGAGTTCAGGTTCTACCAACACAATTGTAATGGTTATATGGGCTTTGCTATTCTTTTGAGCCTTCGTCTCATTCCGCCGACTTGCTGCGCTTGGGTGATAGAGCCCTTCCTTTAGGGCAGGATCACGCGGTGGGATCGACACTTGTTAAAAAATAAACGCTCTGTGTTTAATGCAGATGAGGGAGTTTTTTTTTAGGGAGACATGTTTTGATGTGGAGAAAAGGTATGTGTGGGAGTATGAGGATTGCCGTACGTTTGATATGGATGCTGGACATACGGAAGTTAGATTTTGAGGGGCGATACAGGTTTCACCACGACAGTTGATGTAGGCTTGACTTCGAAGACAGACATTGTTGATGATGAGAGACATATGCGTAATTTCGAGATACATGCTTTTGATGTTGCGAAAAGGTATGTGTTTGAGTTGTTTACCTTACGTCTGATATGGATGATGGACATACGCAAAACAACCACCTATTCCTGCACCACGCAGCAGCATCGGCCCGGGCAACCCAGAGGAAATTCGTTTCCAGCCCGCTTAGTGACCTAGTAGCGCCAGTAAAGCCCATTTGGTGTCGTGGCTTCTTTGCTCCGAGGTTCCTGTCGTTTGGTTTCCGGGATGTTTGGCTTCTCAGCTTCTTAGAGTTTGTAATGTGCAGTTTCTTCATTGGCGTCCTTAGTTTTGTTTTTCTGATGGGGGGGGGCTGCGGCCTGCTGACGCCAGCTTAAACCCGGCCTAAACCGCTACCAAAACTAGAACCAACCTAATGAACCCGCCGCAACGACAATGCGTCCCTAAACCAACTCAGAACCCGCCGTAAACCAACCCTAAACCCCCACCCACTCTAAAACCACCGCAAGCCAATCCTAAAACCCACCCCAACTCCACCCGAACCCCACCCTAAACCCGCACTAAACAAGCAGAATACCATCTCTAGCAAGCCCGTCTCAAACCAACCCTCCGCAAGCCTTAAGCAAACCCTATACCAACCCTAACCCCCCACTAAGCCCGCCCAAGCAACTAGAACCCGCCTTAAACCAGCACCAAACCCAAACTAAACCCACCTAACCCCACCCAACTCTTATACACACCCTCAGCAAACCCTGTAATGAGAAAGTAACATGATGCTTCCACATCCCCCTCATCATCCTTTTGAAAACTAGGCCGCCGGAGCTGGCTAGGAGCCATCCCTTTCTGCGCATGCATTGGCTGCAAAGCATGTCGCAAATGGAGGCATGGCGAGCCCAATCGGTATGCTCTCCTTCCTTTCTGCGGTCAGGGTGGACATGGGTTTGAGGCGTGAACCCGAAACGGTTTGATAGCGCGCGGCACCGTAAGCAAACGGGAGAGGCATCTCACTTGTCGTCCAGCGTGCTCAATCACGGGCCCACGCGGCGAGCCGCCTCATAGCTTCTGAAACAAGGGGACGCCCAAAGGCCCTTCGAACACTTCACAGCAAAGCGCGCGTCCATCACATGGGCGGTTCGCGCGCGCTCGAAAAATGGCTGTTTCTTAAGACGCACCCGCGGCAGCGCGGTCGGCAGAAGGGCGCCGCGCGCCGCGAGCTTGGGCTCGGAGCTCGGGGCGCGACGGGGAACCCTCCCCGTGACGATGGCCGGGTCAGTATCCATGTGAGACTTCGAGGTGGCTGCCATTGAGAGGCAAGCAATACAACGCAAACACGCAAAAAGAGAGAGTGAGGAAGGAGGTGAAACCTAGGCAGCAGCGTGTCTGCGCGCAATCTTGTCTTGAAGCGGCCATGCGAGCGTGGGCCGTCCTGAGCTTGCATTTCACTTTCGGACAGCTCTGCAAAAAGCAATGTCGGCAGGCAGGCCATCAGCGGGTGCCCGGGTAAAAGCCAAGGACGGTTGGTGATCCGGCGTCAATGTAGGTTTGCCGCAAGCGAATGGTATCCAGCCCTAAACCGCCATACACCAGCACTACACCATCCCATGCCCTAAACACGCCTGGAACGCACCCCGCCCCCTAAGCCAACCTTGACTCCACCCTACACCCAGCCTAAACCAAACCAACTGGTGATGCTGAAAACGATGCCGGGGAGGTTAAACGATGCCCGGGATGTTGACGAGTTGGACCAATTTCTGATTGTGGTTCATGCGGCCGCCCCCCACCACCCAGAAAGGGGGACCCCTATTTTGAGAAACGCCCAATCCGTTGAACGGGAGCAGCTTCGCATCCTGTAGCCCATTTGTTGCCAACTTTTCAACGGGCCACCCAAGAGAAGGAAGCAAACAAGACAAGCGATAATGAAAACGCGGACCCGGCATTTCAATCTTTCTAACCCAAAGCAGTTTTGTTGACCTCCCTTTTGGCTTTTTGTATGGGCAAAAAATGAGGTGGGTCGAAAAGACGTGTCTTCCGCACCGTCATTCAGGTCTGGCAATGTGCTGTTTACAGCAAACCCCGATGTTGGGAGATATGTGCGGCGCCAAGCAGCTGACTGCCTGCTTTGAATCAGTAGCAGTCTTTTTACAGCAACGGTCAATAACCCTGGTTTTTGTGGGGGCTACCACTCCAGGAACAGCAAACCACCGATTCGGCTCCAAACCACCAAACAACGAGGGAAGCTGAATTTTCAGAGACACCGGACGGAGCTCACCATGAATCCGACTTGAACGCCAAGATTGAGACTGCCTTGACTGCAGACGGAGGCGATCCTGCCATGATTTTTTGCGTTGCCAGTGTCTGACTGACATCCGCTAAAGCATGCACCCAACTGCGGGTTTCTCAAAATGGTTTTAGTCTTTTTTGGCTGGTATTTCAAAGGGCAGCACGGGGACGCCCCTCGAGTTTGAGGAACAGCCAGTTGTTGGGCGTGCATGCTGCATGTGCTGGCATCAAGTCCAAGCAAGCTGCAAGCCGCAAAGGGGGAACTCATGACACATATGGTGGCCACGATACGAACCATGGACATTCTACCCACTGGACTGATCACACAGCTGGGCTATGGATGAGAAGGCGGAATGGCATAAGCCACGTATCGATGACATGCATTCATGATGACATGAGGTATGCCATGTATTCCACCTGGGAATGAGATTCAAGACCGGGTGCAGGGGCCGCCTTTTGCGGGGGAGAGAACGGCATGGCGCTGGGCTCGGAGGGTTGGTTGCCTGAGTCTCAAGTTGCCGTGATGGCGGAACCAGAAGTGAGTCACAAATCAAAACCCGGGGAAGTGGAGGTTAGTAAGGGACACCCCCAACCAGAAATGGTTGCGGCCGCCGTCTTAATTCTTTACATGGTGCTGGGTTAACCACTATTGTACCGGGTTTTGATTATGACTCAAGTCAATGGTTTTGGGCGCTAGGTTGGGCCGTGTCCAGATTTGTCTCTCAGTTTGGGTTTGGGACATAGGGGGGACAGTTTCCAGTCCAATAGGAGACAGGTGTGAGGGACATGGGGTGAGATTTCAACAACATCCAGCGGAGCAATTTCCCGTGCTCGGGAAAATCTTTGTAACTTTCACCGTTCACAGCTTGGAATTCACTCTGACACTGCCCTAGGTCACATCTCTTGATCCAGCTACAGGAGACTTAGATCGGAGCAGAAGACATGTATATATATATATATAGATGTATACACATGTATATATATATATATGCGAAACACATATCCGGTGATTTCTCGAGCACCTCTTCTGGGTCTATCTCCGTCTCTCGGCTGGAATCATGCCTGGCGAATTCTGCACGCCTTCTTCAGTTGCGGAGAGAGCTGAAACCACTGGGGAAACGGACATTGTGTGGTAAGGGAAACAAACACCAGACAAACTGCTAGGAATCGCTTTTCACCATGCTTGCCGGTGAGGAGCTGAGCGCTGGCGTGCCAGCTCTTCCGTCCAGGAGGCCGCATCAGACCGCCTGGCGGAAGTTTTCCGACGGGGGTTTCTCTTTTGGGGGTATGCAACAATATAGGGGAATCCCAAAAATGAGTGAAATCCCCAAAACCCATGGGTTTGGGTTGTGTTTTTAAGGCGCTACCAAGTCTCTACCAAAATGGGAAATGCATGGGCCCGCTCTAAGCCTCCCTCGCCGGATGTATATATAGAGGGTGCCCTCAAAAAACAACACACCCCAAATATTTGACCCCCGGTTTCACTCTTTGAAACGGACGCCAAAAAGAAGCCAGTGATTCCTTTGGGGTTCCCTTCAAGAAACACATCTCAGCGAAGGTGTGGGGATTGGCGATTGCGGCGGATCAAGGGCTGCTTATTTGCCAGGGGCCCAGAGTTTTAGAAATCGGTTTGGATGCGTTTTTTGTGGATTCCCCATTCTTCCCCTGTGTTTTTTTAGTTCTTGTTCAGTACTCTTTTAATATCCTACAGGGGTACAAAAGCCACATCCAAACCGTTTTCTAGAAGAGTGCAGCAGCGGACGCGTTCTCACGGCGCTTCTTGTTTTCTCGAGCCCTTGATCGCTCGAGGCGATGGCGGCTGGTCGGAGCTGATGTGGAAGACTCAGGAGACTCCCCACAGCCAGAAATATCGAAGAACGCGCCAAAGGTGAGATGGGATGGAGAAGGGAAAGGAAGGAAGAGACAAGGCATGAGTGTAAGAGATCAATCATTCTGCCTGGTCCGAAAACACCAGTGGACGGACACAATCCGCTTCGCACCAGTTGGTAGTTGGTAGGTGGTGCATCGACCAGTATTTGTACGTTCTATGCCAACTGGTAAGTGAATTTTGTCCATCAGCAGGGCTGGAAACACCCGCACCACGAAAAATCGAACCATGATTGAACCCAGTTGAGCCGCAATCAAAACCCGGGTAGATGAAGGTTGGGAAGGGACGATCCCAGCCATAACAGCTGCGGATATCCGCCTTCTTAGTTCCTTACATGGTTCTGGGTCGACCATTTTTGCACCGGGTTCTGATTGTGACTCATTTGTTTGTTGGTATTTTTCCTATTGGGGGGTGGGGTTCTGAACGGTGTGGCTGGATTTCGCAAGGTCCGCCCTGGATCTCGAAACTGGAGCCCTGCGTTGGGGTCCGGTGAATGCCACCGTGGGCAAGGCGCGGGTCCAAATTCAATCCCCACAAAAGCCGACTCGGCGCGGGGCCAATCCCGGATGGGCCGTAGACCATTCTTGGTAGCTTTGGACATGGCGCAAGTTGAGGTTCTTCCGCTGGAATCAGGGCTTTCGTGGCTTGTCGAGCAGATCTCAGTCAGTTTGAGGGGTACATTCAGACATTGGGACCATCTTTTCAGAACCTGCAGGAAGCGACACTGAATTGGGGTAGGTTTTTCATGAGCACTCCATTTTTTCTCCGATGCGAGCATTGCTCGTTGGAGTCTAAAACTTTTAAGATCCGTTTCCCAAATCGGAAACTGGTGCAGACCGGAAGGAAACACCCGTTTTTTGGGCAGCCACGATTTCGCAAAGCATACAAATCCTCTGTGAGTGATTTGGAGGGTCCCTCAATTCTGAACAAGGGCTATTTGTTTTGAGGGTATCCTTTTTGGGTTTGGCTCAAGCGGAAATTAAAGAGAGACCCACTTCCATGTTTCCATGTCCAATTCAGAGACAAAGCAAATCCGGTGTGGATTCTTAGATTGCTAAATGTGAGCATTGACGCATTGCCGTGGCTCAAAATAAAATACCCCCTTAATTACAGATTCTGAAGCGTTCTGCTTGCAAGAGTCCAAGGTAAGGGAAACCAACAGCAGACTTGTTTTGTTTCTTAGATGGGTTCTCAAAAAAGTAGCTCTGAGACCCAACATGGGTGTGTCCTTTCTTGAGGGTACCCTTTTTGTGGATGGTTAAAGGGAAACCAAAGGGACACCCATTCTTGGGGTCTTCGTATTTACAGACAAGCCCAAATGAGCCACAATCAAAACCAGGGTAGATGAAGGTTAGCAAGGGACAATCCCAACCATAAATAGCTGCGGCCGCCTTCTTAATTCCTTACATGGTTCTGGGTAGACCATTTTAGTACCAGGTTTTGATTGCGACTCAAATGTGTTTCGGCTTCCTTTTGGTTGTGTTTAACACAAAGGTGGCTCTTCCGATTCTATCCTGAGAAGCCGTTCCAGAATACTTTTTTGGGGGTCCGGGTTCCCAAGACACCAAAAGGGTTCCGCAAGGGTTCCTTTTGGTTTCCGTCCAACCAAGAAGATGACCCCTTTGAGAGACACCCAAGTATGTTACGTTGAAAGCTAATTCTCACCAAAATCGCGGGTTCCCAAACTTCGGACGCCCAGATGGTGTCTGTTTTTAGGAATCTCCCCCCCCAAAAAAAAAGAAAAGAAAAAACACTTATAGTGGTGTTCCTTTTGTTTCCCTTTAACACCGTACCCAAAACGGGGGGGGGGCCTTTTTGGCCCCAGACACGTTTTCGGCTGACAGGGGGAAGAACCCAGAAGGACACTTCGTGTTGAAAGCCCCCCAACTGAACAAGAGTAATCCCCGAAGTACGGTAGCAAAAAGGTCCCTCGTGGGGTAATGTTGACCCAGGATTAATAAACCCGTCCCATTGTTAGGGGTGTGTTCCCTCCAAAAGTGGTCTGACTCCCCACTAAAAGGAATTGGACATCCCCCAATCAAAATCAACCAGGGTTTGCTCTTTATCCGGGGTCAATGTTATTAAGCAGGTCGCTTCTTTGAAGGTACCCTTTTTGGTGATGGTTTAAGGAACCAAAAGGAAACCGCATTTTTGTTGGGGAGCCTGGGGTTAACATCAACAACTCAAAAGAGACCCCGCCAGATCTTCAGCTTCCTGGCAGTGCCGGACCTGGACCTTGTCCTCTGCGGCGGGTCAGATGGCACGTTGGCCGGGCTCCAGCTCGCCTCAGGGGTGCTCAGACGCTCGGCACGCGCTCGAGGCGCTTGACTTGGGGTCTGAACGGGGAAGGGGAACCCCTGGAAGGCTGTTTTCCTTTAAAACCGACCAGAAAGGGGGCAGCCTCAAAGAATACATAGCATTGACACGAGGTTCCCTAGTGAATCCTGGTAAATTTCTTGACCCCGTATTTCTTAACAAAAATGCTTATTGACATGGGGGTGCGGGCCCCTCTGACATTGCCAGTATAGTAGGTAACCTCCCATTTTCATGTTTGCCTTTAAAGGGCGGATTCTTTCGTTACCTACGTTGCAGGGAAAAGGAGCATGGATATGAGGTTTGGCCAACATTTCAAGTAGTCTATGGGTGTTTTTCATTGATCATGCCTTTTTTGGGGACCCCTCAAAGGAGTGGGACCTTTCTTGGTGTAGAGAGAAGCCAAAAGGGAACCGACCATCTTGGATTTCCCCTATGTTGAGACAAGCACATACCTTGTCATCAATATTGTGGTACCCCTAAAATTGGTTGTTTCCCTTTTGATTTCCCTCAAACAAGAAAAACATCCAAGAAAGGGCCCCCCCTGTTTTGAGACAGACCAACATCTGTTTCTTCCAACAAGCAAATCCTTTACATATTACCATGGAAGACATGTGACAATAAAATAACACCGATTTATGATGTCAACAGTCTTTTTCTTTTCCGTTAACATAGCAGAGCTGCAACACCACGATGCAAATTGATGATATCTACCAACACCTTAGAACCATCTTGTTCAGCAAAGGTCAAGAGGTTGCAAACAAATGGGATGCATGCTATCATTCATAGTGCGAACCCGCGCGCACGGACCTGCGGCCGGGGAAGTCAAATGGATGGCGCAGGGGGCAAGAGCAGCTCGCGCTCAAAGGGCGGTACACCGCGAACACTCTCGCGCAAATTAGGGATGCCTGAACGTGGTTGGATTCCTTTTGGTCTGCCTTGAAGCAACGAAAAGGGGCCAGATTGAGGAGACAGATGACAAAGGCCGCATTGGTTTCATTTCGTGTTCCTTTTCATGCCATTGAATGGCTGCCATTGCATTGGTTTCCTTTAGTTTTCCTTTCAACACCAAGAGCCTTGGACTTCTAATTTGAGAAGGCTTAGTGGACATCACATCCTTAGTTGAAAGAATTCGCCGGGTGGCATCCTTCAGTTCCAAGTCGGGTCTCAGGATTCGTGGTGGATGTTGGCGTGGGTGAGATTTGGAGCTTGGCCTATGACGCGCGCACCAGGCGCGGCCGGTCCTAGCTTGCGGGCCCAGGCGATATGTTTTGGAAAGCTGAGGCAACTCTTCTGTGGCGGCAACAACGAATCTGCCACAACCTCAGTGCAGTTGAAGCAATTTTGGGTGAGTGTTTTTTAGTCTCTTTTTGGGCCTTCCCCATCGATTTGGCCATTTTGTTGGGTCTGCATACCTCGCACGGCATTTCCGATCGAGGTTGCTGCAGTGCAGCTATGAGCGTCCGACCAAAAGAAGTTCGGGCGAATGCTGGGCAAAGCTTTGTGCACGACAGCTGTGCTTCATTTGCTTGATATCCGGGCAGACATTTCCGGTACCGAACCACTACAATGTGAGGGCAACAAAAACTGCGATTCCAAACGAATGCAATCGAACAGGCATTCTGCATGATCCTTGCTTTCCCCATAAGTAGGAAAACGGGCAATCTCCAGCATCAGTTTCTTGGTTGTCTTGTGGTTTGTGCCGCCATGTCTCCCACCCAGCGGGGTATCCTTGCAATCGTCGCCTTTGCGGCTGTTGCTGGTGCTGTTGAGGCGCCGAGGGCAAGCATGCTCCTGACGACACATTGGGTTAGTCTCAAAATCAGGGGACCGCCATGGTCAAAGACGATTCGTTTATTAGGGCTCGGTAGGGTGGTCATGCACCCCTCGTACAGGTGTTTGAGACCATGGCACGGCTTCCTATCAAGGGAATCATGACCATGGCAAAAGGAGCTTGGAGAAGAGTGCACACAACAGACTGGATTTTTGACTCATGGTTGTTGTGGCCCCCAGACAAAAGACCCCTGAAAGCAGGCGCCAAAAAGGAACCCTGTACATTAGCCTGTATTGAGATTGGGGGGGAGGCCCTTGACAACCATAGGCTGACCATACCACACCTGTTCAGGGTTGTGGGATTGAGGATTCCCACTTCTGTGATAGGGAACCTCCCCTTTAAATGAAGAACTGGTCACGTTGCCAGACTTAGCTCAAGCTTTAGCCTTGTTGGGTTGCCGTCATTTTTCGTTTTGGGTAGCCATTTTGGCTCAAGATATCTTGGGCCAATCAAACGCGGTGCTCGCTTGTGAGTGCTGTGCGCGCTTTGGCCGTGGTGACTGCTCTGCTGCGCCGCCCTCCTGCTGGGCGTAGCAATGCGTGGGCCCCTGGCGCCGGAGGTGTGGCTGCGATGCCAAGGAGAGGAAAGCGCGCCGTCTTGGAATGCGAAGTTGCAGTCGATCCGGAACGCCGACTTATAATCGATGAGAAGACGCGGAGGTATGAGCGCTTTGAATCGCGAGAATACGCTTCTTTCGACGCCATGTCGACTGGGTTTTCTGGTTCTCTTCTTTTTCTGGTTTCTGGTGCTCTAGTTTCCGATTTTCTGGCTTTCTGACTTTCTGGTTCTTTTGGTTTTCCGGTTTTCTGGCTCTCTGGTTTTCTAATTTTTGTTTTTTCAGGCTTTCTTGGTTTTCAGATTTGCTGGTTCTCTTGGTTTTCTGTTTTCAGGTTTTCTAGTTGTTGTAATTTTCTGGCTTTCTGGTTCTCTTGGTTTTCTGTTTTTCTGTTTTTCTGGTTTTGTGGTATCCGATTTTCAGGCTTTTCTGTTTCTTGGTTGTCTTGGTTGCGGCGACAAAGATCCAGGGTGATGAGCTTATCGCGGGCGGCGATGCCGGCAGGTGGCGACAAAGATCCGGAGAGGAGAGTCGCTGGCGCCGGAGGGGGTCTCCCGGCTCCGATGCTAAGAAGAAAAAGGGTGACACACATCCATGCGATGTCGGGCGTGGAGAGCGTGACTGCTGCGCCGCCCTTGTGCTGGGCGTAGGGAACTGCGCGCAGTCCCTGGCGCCGGAGGTGTGGGTCTCCTTGGTGGGGTGGGCTCCAACGCTACGAAGAAAAAGGGTGACATCCATGACTGCTGCGCCGCCCTTGTGCTTGGCGTTGGAACCTGCGGGCAGCCTCTGGCGCCGGAGGCGTGGGTCTCCTTGGCGGTGGGCTCCAACGCTACGAAGAAAAAGGGTGACGTCCATGACTGCTGCGCCGCCCTTGTGCTTGGCGTTGGAACCTGCGGGCAGCCTCTGGCGCCGGAGGCGTGGGTCTCCTTGGCGGTGGGCTCCAACACTACGAAGAAAAAGGGTGACAAACATCCATGCGATGCGCGTTGGGCGTGGAGAGCGTGACTGCTGCGCCGCCCTCGTGCTTGGCGTTGGAACCTGCACCTGCGGGCAGTCTCTGGCGCCGGAGGCGTGGGTCTCCTTGGCGGTGGGCTCCGATGCTACGAAGAAAAAGGGTGACATCCATGACTGCTGCGCCGCCCTTGTGCTTGGCGTTGGAACCTGCGGGCAGCCTCTGGCGCCGGAGGCGTGGGTCTCCTTGGCGGTGGGCTCCAACGCTACGAAGAAAAAGGGTGACATCCATGACTGCTGCGCCGCCCTTGTGCTTGGCGTTGGAACCTGCGGGCAGCCTCTGGCGCCGGAGGCGTGGGTCTCCTTGGCGGTGGGCCAACGCTACGAAGAGAAAGGGTGACAAACATCCATGCGATGCGCGTCGGGTGTGGAGAGCGTGACTGCTGCGCCGCCCTTGCAGTCCCTGGCGCCGTTGGCATGGGTCCTTGGTGGTGGGCTCCGATGCAAAGAAGAAGAAGGGTGACAAACATCCACGCGATGTGCGTCGGGCGTGGAGAGCGTGACTGCTGCCGCCCTATGGGAAACTGTGCGCAGTCCGGAGGCGTGGGTCTCCTTGGCGGTGGGGCCGACGCTGAGAAGAAAAAGGGTGACATCCATGCGATGTGCGTCGGGCGTGGAGAGCGTGACTGCTGCGCCGCCCTTGTGCTTGGCGTTGGAACCTGTGGGCAGCCTCTGACGCCGGAGCGTGGGTCTCCTTGGCGGCGGGCTCCGATGCTACGAAGAAAAAGGGTGACAAACATCCATGCGATGTGCGTCGGGTGTGGAGAGAGTGACTGCTGCGCCGCCCTCGTGCTGGGCGTAGGAAACTGCGCGCAGTCCCTGGCGCCGGAGGCGTGGGTCTCCGATGCTGAGAAGACAAGGGTAACACCCACGCGATGTGCGTCGGGCATGGAGAGCGTGACTGCTGCGCCGCCCTTGTGCTTGGCGTTGGAACCTGCGGGGAGTCTCTGGCGCCGGAGGCGTGGGTCTCCTTGGCGGTGGGCTTAGCAAAGCCTGGCGCAGAACACGTGCCCTACAACCAGCACTGGACTGCACGAAGCACTGCCAGGACAACAGCCAAAAAGCAGTGAAAGAACCCAGGCTGACAAAAACAGTCAGAGAACTCTATCACAACGGGCCATCGTGAGGAAGCAACACAAGAGGCACGGGGCCTCGAACAAAAACGGCCACGTCGTTTGGCGAGGCACGGCCATCTTTTGTTCCTCTGCGTCCTTTCCCCGTTCTTCGCCCATCCCGGAAAAAATACTCCACTGCTCTTGGTCTGATTTGATCTTGCGGCGAAAGACTGTCGCAACTAAACGTCAATGACTGCCTTAGAAAATGTACGGGACAACCCGTCTACGCGCAAGCACTCGTCGCACGTTTTTGAGCCGCGCGCGCCTGTCCTTCAAAGCGATGCCTGGAGGTTTGTCGCCCCTTTTCTTCGTAGCACCGAAGTTTCCAGCGGTGAGTGGTCAGCTTCTTGGGCCCGCCGCGCGTGCTGTTGTCCTGGTTCTCTTCTGACACCTCATGGCTTCTTCCCACCCGAAGCCCTGCGCCAGAGATTTGCTGAACGCTGACTTGGCTGGTCTTTCGAAGCCGTTGGCTGCGTTCTTTCATTGACAGAGTCCGCTGAGCCCAGCATGCTGAACAAGTGGGGCATCAAAAAACAAAAGTGAAGCTGGGTAAAATATGGCAAGATTTCCTTTGATGTGTTCAAGGTGAACCGTACTTGGTTTTTCTGGCAGGCATTGCTGCTGTCGCTTCAGGATCTGTGTTATTTCCATGGCGGCGGCTTCAGTGCCTCGCTCGGCGTCAGTTCGGCTTCCGTGTCTTAGGCGACAATCCCGTTTTGCTTTGTGGCCACCTCTTTACCACCGGCTCTGTTACGCACAGTGGTGACGCAGGGAGGAAAAACTGCTCTTGTCGAGGGGGCTTAAGTCTATTCAAGTTCATCAAGGTGTTCCACTAGTATCGCAAGAGTGGTTGCAGTTCCCACAACTTTGCACTAGTTTGGAGACTGGGAAGTCACTGGAATCAGACTGAAAATGCCTGAGTCATTTTCATTGACCGCCCAAATTGGACGTGTTTGAACCAACCCCATGGGCAGAACTATTGAACTGGGAGCTAGCGAGGCCGAAGATGATGACTAAGCAATCCCGGTGACTAAAGCAAACGCGTCATTTTAGACCCTGCTGCCTTGTGCCGCCTTCCATACCGCAAAGACCCTCTTTGGAGAATTCCCCCCCAAGATTTTTCTTTCCAGATCGAATGCACTTCTGATTCCTAGGAACCTCTCCGAGGATTCGCTTGCACCACCAGAAACAGGGGCTGCTGTAGGGCAGAACAGTTGCATGTCCCTATCTCAATCTCTGCCCTGGAGACCCTAAACCAAACCTTGAAGACCCTAAACTTAAACTCTGAAAACCTTCCTAAACTCCAAAAACCCCAAACCTATAACTTCGCTCTAAACCTAAACCCTAAAATGTCTAATTCTAAACTTGTGTGGAACACAGTTTAATGTGACACGCAGATTTTGCGTGGCCTCGGCGCGGGGTAGTGTCGTATGTGACATGTTCCGCGCTCGAAGCGGGGTAGGGTCAAATCGGTCGGGTCGCGTCTCAAAAATGACACCCATTCAGATGTGACCCTCTAAGGACGTGGCTTTAAAAGGGGATGTGACTTTAAGACTTTAAGGGACCCAGTCCCCATGGCTCTGACCTTCAACCCCCACACCGACTGAACAGGCCAGCGCAGCGGCAGAGGTGGGCTGCGTAGACGCTGGTCTTTTGGCACTCCGCGACAACCCGGTTTTTCTGCCGAAGCATCTGCTTTCTTGCCCTCCACTTTACCTTTTGGTTGTTGGGTGCAAAGGTTTGGTTGGGGTTGAAAAACGAAGGGTTGCCCAAAGACAATGGTGCACATTGGTCTTTCGGAGTTGTGCACGGCGTTGGGTTTAACCCAACTGTCGGGTTCATTTGGGGAAGTGATGTAGGTTCATTCCTATGGAAGGGCCAGCAAACACACCCACACACACATACACACACATACATCATTTTTTTCGAGGGCGCCTTTTTGGGATTTGTTTTAAAGGGACACCAACAGGAAACCACACTCTTTTTGGTCCCCCAATGCTGGCACATACCCCAAGTCTTCCATGGCTGCCAATGGTGACTAGGCGGGCCTTGAGCCCGACTCCATAAGTGACGAAACGCGGAGGCCTCAGAAATGAAGCGGGGTGAGTGCGTGCTGTTGGGCTGTGTTTGATACGCGGACATAGCCGGCGCAGTTGAAAGCTGTAGAGGGCCGCAACTTGATTGGAATTGAGAAGTCAGTTGTTGTTTTGCAGGTACGCTTTCAAAGGCTGGTTTAACGGGACCCCAAAAGGACAAGCTTCACTTGTTGGGTTTCCCCTATTTTGACACATGCGACACATGGAATAGATGAAGCTGTTGACTGAGGAAGCTGCACATGCTTGACATGGAGCTGAGTCGCGTGAAGGACCAGCTGAGCTCTTTGAAATCCGAGGCAGCGATGCTAATGGCAGTCCTGGATTACCAGGGTTCCGGAAGTTCCCCTTTTGGGCTCAAGCATCGCCTTTTTGGACGATTACGTTTAAAAAACAAATATACGGAACTGATGATTGAAGCTGCCTAACTGCCAGGGTGCTGTGCCCACACATGAGCACAACTGAAACCAGGGATGAAGGCAAGCAATGGGATAGTGCGGCCGCCATTTCAATTCTTTGCATGGTTTTGGGTAGACCATTTTGAATGCCATGTTGCAAGTATGAATGACATGAAGGATACCAACTCAAGTGGACGGCCCCATCAATCAAACGGTTGTTTGCATTCCCACTTAAGAGGGCTCAGTTGGATGTTCCTACGGTGCAGATGTCCGACGACGCTTCTCTGCTACAAACTCCGGAGAGGCGCTTGATGATGCTTGATTTCTCGATCTCTTGCAGCATAGGAATGATCTGGGTTTTGCAATGGCAGGAATGTGGAGCATTTGAGTTTGCCACTTCGAGAAGCGCTCCTGCAAGCAGAGGCATGCCTAACTTTTTGCTAGCTTGGTTGAATACCCATGGCGCAGATGTCCGACGACACTTCTCTGCTGCAAATTCCGGAGACTCTGTCGACAGAGAGGCGCCTGATGCTTGATTTCTTGATGCCCTTGCAGCATCTGGCCAGGCAACACCAGGAACTATCATTTTTTGCCATCGCAGGAGTGTGGAGCACTTGAGCCTGCCACTGCGAGAAGCACTTCTGCAAGCAGAGGCATGTCTGACTTTGTGTTAGCCTGGCATTGGTTGACATCGGAGGCCACCAATTCTTCTGACCTCAGCTACTTCCAGCAGATGGGGCAGGAGATTCAAGAGGAAGGCACCAGCTGTATGGTAGCAGGCATCGATCTGTTTCCACGGTTTCTTTGTGGCGGAAACATCCAAACGCTGCGGCCGGAAGTCGACTTATCATAAATTGGCGCAAACACCTGGGTGTGTCTTTTTTCGGGGGGCGTCCCTCAAAATGGTGGATTTCCTCATGGCTTTCCTTGCAAGCCACAAAAAAAGCGGGGACCAAATCCCAAAAAAACATACGCTGGAGGAAGTGCCATGGTTCGCAAGCTGTCGTGCTGCTCATCAACTATTCGACTGTCTGCGCGAGGTGTCATCTTCTACTTTGCCAGAAGAGCAGCATTCTGGACAGCGGGAGAGGGGAGTGATCGAATGCCCAAGTCATCAGATGCATGCCCGGAGAGAGTCACATCCCTTGATTCTTGTAGAGGGTGAATGGGAAACCACCGCTAGCCTGCAAGCCACTATTGCATGATACTGAAGCTGAATCAGGCCCTAGGTGATGTGCAAGCTTTGCCCGGGCGGAAATGATGAATCTTGCGAACCACCTCAGTGATTGGACATGGATCACCGAGTTTTAATGTCCACAGGGTCATTCCATGAAATTCACACTCATATTCGGAGGCTTGGCATTGGCGCTTCCTGCATAGTTGTGGGTCCGTGCCTCAGACGTTGGGGTTTCTAGGGCTTCTCAAAAAAACTTCTAGCCTTGAACTGAGTTTTTTTTTTTTTTGGGGGGGGGGGAATTCGAGGAGCCCGATTTTGTCCGCGGGCCGCTATTTTTCCTTTTTGGTGATTCTAAACATCACCTTCGTGCCAAAGGTCAGTTTCCCTCAGTAGGGATGATGTTTTGGGCACGGAACCCTATCACCTCGTGAAGACGGCCGAATTTCACAACTGGGAGTGGCGCTTTTGAGGGAGAACCTTTTCTTGGGTTGAACACCAAGTCGGTGTGTCTTTTTTGAGGTCATTTGTGGTTTTGAACCAACAAGCAAATCACAAATTTTGGGGGACCCTCCAAAAAAAGCACGCCCGAATGGAAAGCACAGTATTTTTGGGTCCCCATTTCGAGACACACCCCATTCGCCAGATGTAGGTTGCATGCAAGTCCTGCTTGGCGCAGCCGGCGGGGAGAAGGCGAGCCCCGAAAATCAGTGGTTGGCCGAAGGTGGGTTGGAACCACGACTGGGTTTGATAGGGGTTTGGTCTAACAGCTATGAGGGTGGCTCGTCTTTTTCTAGGAATCGCACCCCTAAAGATTTTGGTGTTCCTCTTGGTTTCCCGTTAACACCTACCAACAAGGGCTCAATCAAGACACACCCATATGAACCTGTATCGCACTTGCCCAAAGCCGACCTGTTCACCTTTTAGTTGCCCCTTTTATGTCATTTTTACTCATGCTCTCAACAGATCAGATTCGCCTTGCCTTGTATTTCTGGATCCTTTGGGCTCCTGAGGTCCTGCTGGTAGAACCAAAAGTCAATGGGCTCAAGGGCGCTCAATTGAAGTCGCCTCAAGCCGAGCTTTTGCCGTACCCGTGTTGGGCTGTCTTGAGTTCTTCGCTGCAGGTAGATGAAGCTATCAACGATATGACGGAGGCTGGAAGCTGCCAATTCAGAAGGCATTGTGGATCCTGTGGAGAACATGGGTTTGAGAGCTGGAGAACAGAAGCGAGTGCGAACGGCCCAGATTTGGCGTTGAAGATATGCGTTCAAGACCCCCTGTTAGGGCGCCCCTGCGTTTCAACAGCAATGTTCAAGTCATTAAGAACTGCGGGCACAGACACACGAACACGAACGAACGAACGAACAAACGAACGAACGAACGAACGACGAACAACCAAGCAAACAAACAATCAAACAAACAAACAAGCAAGCAAACAAACAAACAAACAAGCGCACACTTGCCCTCCAAGATCGCATATTTGTCCAGGCTTGGGTGCCTTTTGACAAGGTCCACAAGGCGCAGCGCCAAAGCTCGGGTTCAGATGTGCATCGATCGCCATTCAGGTGGGTAGCCATTTAGGCATCGCATATCTTCCCTCCAGTCATGGACACTCACAGGATCTCTGAAGATGTTTTCCTTTTGGGGGACCCCCCCAGAACTCACTTCTTTGATTGGAAAGAGGTTAGCAGTTTAGCTACACTTTGGGCAAGTCGAACGTGACACCAACCCATGCCAGCAATCCCGGCATGGCGCTTCAGAAGCCATTTCCAGCGGACTCGAGCCATGTGACACGCGCAAAGCGATTCGGAGCAGCCGCAGCAACAACACCGGAGACATTTGGGTGTGTCCTTTTGCAGATCCCAAGAATTGGTGGTTTCCTTCAAAGGCTTTCCTTAGAAACCCACTACAACAGGCACCGGGCCTCAAAAGAAGAGGGGCAAACCCACGCAGCCCCGGAGACGCTTTCTCGAAGGCAGGGCTCGAAGCGAGCTTCGGCTGGACACGAATCCAAGCACCGAGTTTGGATGTTTCGAGCAGCTTGGGCCCCTGAAGGCTATGGGTCAAAACCCCAGTTCCCTGGTGAACACCCAGAAAGCCTTCTAACAAGACAACAGTGGAGTAACCATCCTCAAAAAGGCACCTTAGGTTTTGACCCGCAACCAACTCAGTTTGTGAAATGGGGAACCACCTCAGACATGAATCCCCACATGTCCACCCACTTGGGCTATTGGTTAAAGTTCATAGGCGTTTCACTTGACAATGCAAGACCGAGGACCTGCTTGACATGGTAGACAGTCCGTTGTCTGGAAACCACAATTTGGGTGCAGCATTTTGTAGGGGAACTTTTTGTTTGTTTGGTGGTGGGGAATCCAGAGTGCAAAAACCACCTTTGCCGGCTGCCTTTGGCTCACAGAGCCAGGCTAAAGCAGTCACAAGGACATAGCATTCGTCAAGCAGCTGAGTGGGTCTTGGACTCACCTGAGTTCATGGACTTTGGTCACTTTTTGGGTTGGGCCCGTTTTAGTGGTACATCAGAAGTTCCAGAGCCTTTTTTGGCCAGTGCACTCAGGAAGTGAGACGACCCTCAAAAACTGGAAGGTAAAAACGGGGCATCCGAAATGACTCCGCTCAGAATCGATCAGGAAGTACGGCAAGCAGAAGCCTTGAAGTGAGATGAAGCGAAAGCCGGTTGAGGAGCCTCCCGATGCCGCCGAGCGGCGAAAAGCCAAGCCGGTGGTCGCGTACCGAGTGGATCTACTGCCGGAATTCGATGAGACTTGGCAGATGCATTCGTCCGCAGGATCCCAACTGGTTGCTTCTACAAAAGGAAGGAGCCTCCTTTTGGTTGCGAACAGGCGGTTACCACGTTTTTGTGTCTCCCCCCCGCAGTGACCAGTACGTCTCAGACTGGGGTGAAAAGGAGGCCAAAAGGAGAGCAAGCAGCCAGCAGGTTTTCTCTTTTTGAGACAGGCACGACTAGCCACTGGTTTCGACTGGAAGCTACACAGCGATACGCGCAACGAATTCTACAGCCTGAGGCCAGCTTCTACAGCCGTGTTCGGGATGGCCTGACGAAGACGCACGAAGCGGCCTGGCCAAGAAGCAAAAATGATCGTGCCGGAAGACAGCTAAGTAATTGACCAAATCCACGTTGCCGTAGTTAGGTACTCCTGACTCGGGGGCCCTGGAAGTCATGTTCCTCTTTGGTTCTTTAACTTATCGCTACTCTGTTGGTTTGGGGACATCCGGGGACGACTCGAATGTTTCTGGAGGAAATCAGTGGCCACTTTTTTTAGCTCAAGCGTGCAGGCTGAAAGCCCTCGTCCTATGAGGGGGCTCTGTGATTTGTGTGTGCTGCCGTGGGGCGCGTGCGAAACGTGCCTCTAGGCGACCACTTCGCGGATGCGCCTAGAAGCGCGACATGGCCGGACAAACGGCTGAAGAGCTTCCAAGCTTGCTTTGCTCTGCGAGAATCAGATACCGGATAGCCCAGGGCTGCAACAAAAAGGTGGCGGTTTCGGATAAAGCGAATCGCTGGTGGCCGGAAGTTGGTTTCAGCGCGCGGTGAAGCAGCAAAGGTTGTAAGCCTCTTGACCCGACCTGGACAGTGAGTCCACGGATGTTCGGAGTTAGGAAGTTGTTGGGAACCTCGGTTACAACCCACTTCTACGTCCCCCTACGTGGGGTCAGTGGCCAACTACGTACTAGCCTGGCAAATCGAACATCCAAGTAAGATAGCTTTGCATTGTGCCACCTTGGGTGGCCACCCCTTGGTGGAAGCTAGCTTGCTGTGGCCAATAGGAATGTCTACGAAGACATCGCGCTCTTCTTGGTAGAAGCAGGTGCTGACGTGGCTTGCCAGCTGCCACAGACACGCTGTGCGCGAAAATTGCGGAGAACAAATACGGCATCATCTGTAGAAGCCCCGCCAAACGTTCGCAGAATCGCATAGATGTCATCGCGGCTCCGGAAAACCATGGCCTTGCCTTGCATTGCTAAACAAGGGGCACAAAGGAGTATGTTCTGTTTCGCGACAGCATCCAGGCCCACAACAGTTGAGGCTGTTGCAGAAAATAAGCTTCGTATCCAGAGTCCACATTATGTCTTCCCCCGCCCCCCCAAGGCACCGCGAAGGCAGTTCCGGTGGGGAAAGTGAAAGGAAAGCCATCGCGGCTTACATAAATTCCACTGACGAGTCTCAAGAGTAGCGCCCAGGAAAATCTGCATAGGCTCTCCGAGTAGGCGCTTGTTGCGGCGTAGGCTCGCGTGCACACCCTTCCACGGTTTCTGGCTGCCAATGTGCAGGGCCGATGCCCCAAAAACAACTCTGCTCAATTGGCTCTGGTTTTCCTTTTGGTTTCTCTTTAAAGCCACAAAAGATGGGTACTCTCAAGCCGGTTCATTCACTCGAGTTCCTGGTTGGTGGACAAACAAATCCCCACCAAAATCGTGTCCAAAAAAAGACAACAACCAGTCTTTCATTGTCCCCCCCGAGCCAAAAAACAAGTAAACTCGAAACAAAACCAGCGCCACATCTATATATATGTACCAGTCCCTGGGCCATGTACACCCCCCCCCCCCACAATGGTATGGTCCCCCCACTCCCCCGCATCATCCGCATCTTGGGGATGATGCTGGCAATGCTGGGGATGCTGTCCAGTACCATGTGAGCCCTGCAGCTTCGGTCCCAGACCCTTTCACGGGCAACACCCCCGCACCTCTCGCAACATCCTACCCTAAACCAAACCACCCTGCAACCCCTCCTTAACCCCAACCCTAAGCCTAAATCAACCCAAACCCCAAACCCACCCGAAACCCACCGCAAACCAACCCTGAACCAACCCTGAACCAACCCTAAGCCAACCCACCAAGCCTAAACCAACTCCGAACCACACCCCAACCACCCAACCACCCCACCACCCCACCACCCCACCCCCCACCCCACCCTCACAGGGGGGGGGGTTGGGGGGGGAGGGGGGGGGGGTCCACGGCCTGGAACATATATATATATATAAATAAAACATATATCAAGATATATATATATATATATATAGTGTATGTGTATATATATATATCTTGTATGTATGTAAATATATATATTGTATGTATATATATATATATTGTATGTGTATATACATATATTTCTATGTATATACATATATTGTATGAATGTGTATATATATTGTATGTATATATATATATATTGTATGTGTGTATCTATATATATTGTGTATATATATTGTATATATATTGTATGTGTATATATATATATTGTATGTATATATATATATATTGTATGTGTATATACATATACACATATTGTATGTGTGTATATATATTTGTATGTGTATATATGTATGTATATTGTATGTATATATGTATACAAATATATTGTATGTATATATGCATATTGTTTGTGTATATATATATATATATTGTATGTATATATATATATTCATATATATTGTATGTGTATATAGATATATATTGTATGTATATATATATTGTATGTATATTCATATATTGTATGTATATATATATATTGTATGTATATATATGTATATTGTATGTGTGTATATATGTACTGTATGTATATATATATATATATCTATATTGTATATATATACATATATTGTATGTGTATATACATATTGTATGTGTGTATGTATATATATATATATTGTATGTGTATACATATATATATATTGTATGTGTATATATATATATTGTATGTGTATATATGTTGTATGTATATATATATATTGTATGTATATATACATATTGTATGTATTTATATATATTGTATGTCTATATATATATATTGTATGTATATATATGTTGTATGTGTATATATATATATATATTGTAAGTGTATATATATATTGTATGTATAAATATATATATATATATATATTGTGTGTGTATATATATATATTGTATGTGTGTGTATATCTATATTGTATGTGTAAATATATATTTATATCGTATGTATATATAAAAATATTGTATGTGTATATGTATATATATTGTATGTATATATATATATATTGTGTGTGTGTATATATATATATTGTATGTACATATATATATTTATAAATTGTATGTGTATATAGATATATATTGTATGTATATATATATATTGTATGTGTATATAAATATTGTATGTAGATATATATATATATTGTATGTGTATATATATATTGTATGTGTATATATATATATTGTATGTATATATATATATATTGTATGTGTGTATAGATATTGTATGATATATATATATATTGTATGTGTATATATATCTATATTGTATGTGTATAAATATATATACTGTATGTATATATTTATATATATTGTATGTGTATATATATGTATTGTATGTATATATATTGTATGTATATATATATATATTGTATGTATATATATTGTATGTGTGTATATATATATATTGTATGTGTTATATTGTATGTGTATATATATATATATATTGTATGTATATATATATATTGTATGTGTATATATATATATATTGTATGTATATATATATATTGTATGTACATATATATACTGTATGTGTGTATATATCGATATTGTATGTGTATATATATATATATTGTATGTATATATATATATATTGTATGTGTAGATATATAATGTATGTAGAAATATATTGTATGTAAATATATATTGTATGTATATATATTGTATGTGTATATATATATATATTGTATGTGTTATATTGTATGTGTATATATATATTGTATGTGTTATATTGTATGTGTATATATTTGTTGTATGTATATATATCTTGTATGTATATATATGTATATATTGTATGTGTGTATATATTTATATTGTATGTGTATATATCTATATTGTATTTGTGTATATATCTATATTGTATGTGTATATATATTGTATGTATATATATATATATGTATTGTATGTATATATATATATCGTATGTATATATATATATATTGTATGTATATGTATATTGTATGTACATATATATATTGTATGTATATGTATATATATTGTATGTGTGTATATACATACAGTGTGTATATATATTGTATGTATATATATATATCTTGTATGTGTATATAGATATATATTGTATGTATATATATATATTGTATGTATATATATATATTGTATGTACATACAATATATATATATATATTGTATGTATATATATATATATTGTATGTGTGTATATGTATATTGTATGTATATATATATATTTTGTATGTATATATATATACTGTATGTATATATATATATATTTATATTGTATGTATATATATATATATTGTATGTATATATATATATATGTATATTGTATGTGTATATATATACATATATATATATATATATTGTATGTATATATATACATATATATTGTATGTATATATACATATATTGTATGTGTATATATATATATATTGTATGTATATATATATATTGTATGTGTATATATATATTGTATGTATATATATTTACTGTATGTGTATATAAATATATATACACACACGTCGCCTTGCGGTCGCCTCCGAGGTCCTGGTACCTCCGAGGGAGGCGCGGAGCTTCGAGGTGCGGAAGGGCCAGGTCTTCCGGATCCGCTGCACTGGGGGGCCCCAGGCGCGGAGAGAACCGGCGAACCGGCGAAAAGGTGAAACGGTGAAACGCGTGCGTGACATCCGGTTGCGTTTTTTTTTTTGAGGGGTGTCGGCGGGTTCATGTTTTTGGGGGAAAGGACATTCACCCAAGATGATTTTGAAGATTTGGTTGCCGTCAGTTGACCAACGGGGGGAGAGGGTTCCGGTTTTGATACCCTTGTTTGGTTGTTTTCCAGGGAAACTCACGGGAGACCACCCATTTTAGGGTTTCCCGATTTCAGGACACTTCAGCACGTCCGTGTTTCTCCGCCTGTGATGTCAATCTTGCTGGGAGGTCGGCGATTTGAACCTTTGGTGCCTTGACAAGTTGGAAGAGCGCTTCTACACAGGCTGGGAATGGTCAGTGTTTCTTGAAGTCGACCAGTTGAGTGTCAAGTTTGTTGCCGCTGCCTGTTCAGCTTCTACGCGAAGCTTTTTGGATCCCGCAAAATGAATGCAACCGCTTCCGTCTTGCGAAACTTTGGCAGGCAAAACGCGGCAGCTACATGCCACCCACTTGACCAAAGGCGACCGGCTTTGGAGTTGCTTCCCGTTTCTCAGGCGGGGTTCGGACCCAAGAGGTTCAAGGTCTGAGAACATCCGAGAAACAAGAGGGGTCTGCTAAGCATAGGGGTCTATGGTTGTGTCTTTACGGGGCACCCCAAAATAATCGTGTTCTTTTTGTCTTCTGGTTGCCCGGACACATCGAGATAAAACAAGGTACATACCCTTGAAAAACACACACCCATAGCCCATATGGGCAGGAATCTGTTGTTTCTTTGTACGGTAGGTGTACTTTCACAGCTCCCTCGGAGTGGGTCGCAGGTCCAGCAAGGTCTCAAGATCTGTTTGGGGGGAACCGTTGCACCGAAGGGGCGTCATGCCCTTCAGTCTGGAAAGCAAAAGGGAAAGGGTGGACCAGAGATGCACAGGTCCCAGCTGAAGGCTATGGAGGTCGCTTCGAAGCTTTTCCCAGGCCAATGGCCACCATCACCCACGACACATTGGAGTGGTACGGCTGGGATGAGGACGGCGCGAGCGTCCACGACGTCATCGGCACTCGCTGCGACCCCTACTCTAACAAGGTGGGCGCTGAGTCGAGCTTGGAAAGCCATTTGGCTTCCCACGAAATACAAACGGAAAGGGGGGGGGCAACCAGTGGGGAAAAAAACACTCACCTGTTTTTGGAGAGGCTTAAAGGAAACACCAATTCAATTTGGTTGCTCACTAGCATCATGAGTGCATGTTGGAATGTGGGGCGTGTCTTGCTTCGGGGTTCCCTTTTGTGGATGGTTTTAGAGGGAAAGCAAAGAACGTCATACATAGGAGTTCCTCATTTCTCGACAAGCCCATTGGGGACACAAGAAATATATTGTCTTTGGCTCTTATAGTTTTTTCGACGGAATCCGTTTTGGGGGTAGACAAAGAGGAAGATCACAGATTTGGGAGGTTCCCGCATATTTGCGACAGCCCCCAACACGTGTTCTGCGAGCCAAGAGACTCCCCTTCAAAGCGAAGGTCCTTCGGGGCGAGGACTATGACCACTGCTGCCACTCCAACTTGATCCGCGCTTTGTCGGAAAGGGGTGTGGAAGATGCCGAGAAACACGTGCACGACGTGCTCAACGTTTTCATGTGCACGGGCTTTACCAAAGACACGCATCAGTACTTTATGAAGGCCAGCCCAGTCCGTGTGGGCGATTACATCGAGTTCTTTGCTGAGACTTGCCCAAGACTGCCCTTTCGACCTTTCTGTTTTCCATTTTTGCTTCGTTTGGTTTACACTTTGGGTTTCCCCTTCTGGTTGCGTTGTTTTCGATCAACTTCCCAATAGCTTAAGCTTTTATTTCGTCATTTGGAGCAAGGAGATCCCATTGCTAGGGGCATTGTCTGCGTGTCCAGGGGGGGACACGTCCTCGGGGCATTCGGACGACACAGCCCCATGCCACCCGTTGCTGGTGGAAATCTTTGAGACGGCAGCAGAGGCCTTGGAAGGGTGGAAAGGGCCTGAGGCTTGCGGCTATGCCGGCAACCACGGCCTGTGATCAGAGCTGGTCCTCTGCAATTTATTTGGGAAAGGCTCAAACACATGTACCAAAATGGCACCTTGGCAACTGGAACCGAAAACTAAACCTGCGTAACCCTTGTTCTTTTATTTTGAGCCACACCCATTTGGATATTGATTTCCATATGCGGACACTCTTCAAAATGCGTTGTGGACATGAATCTGCTTGTAAATGATGTTCACCAGAGGGTCCCCAATTGAACATGTAGCCATTTCACTCGAAGCCAGAGATGCAGAGATGGCTGCCGAAAAAAGAAGAGGCAGGATGCGCTGAGTGGATTTGACCTTCGAGCATCACGAGTGCACAGCATGTTGGGCTGTAGGGCGTGTCTTGTACTGGGTCACCAACCACTGAATGACTTGAACTCTGCTCGACAGGCGGGTATGGCGTTCGCCGCAAGACCGGCAGATGCTGGGAGCGCCCCTGATAGGAGGGCTCTCCCTGGAATGAGTGGCCAGTTGTTCAAAAGTTGAGACCTCCCTGACATCTGGGCGCGGTCGCGCGGCTACCTTTGGCAGCAACCTGATGCTTTGTCATTTCTTGGACCAAGAAAACTATTCAACGTGATTCCGCCAGAAGAGATAGTGGTCTCGGAACAGTCGAGACAGGATGACACTGCCTGAGCCATCACCACAGTAGATTTGATGCCAAAGCGGGAACTCGCCACTGGACTTCGAAAGCCACACATCTTCGGTTGCTTTTCATCGGGGCTCCGCTAAAACGGCGAGCGAGACTCATGTACCTCAGATTTTCTCACCTTGCACGCTGGCTGCAAAGAATTAAAGAAGCAAGGCAGATGAGTATATTGAAGGCCAAATGGTTTGCTTGTCAATGTAAACCAAAATTATCCTGGGATGCACGTGGCGGACAGACACATGCTGTTGGGGATATCGCCCGAGCTTGTTTTCTCAAATAATTCCCGATTAAAGCTTGGCCAAGGTTCCTCTTTTTGACAATCCCAAGGTAGATGCAAATACCAGCGGTCGATTCCCGCAAAAGAGGAAGCCCTAGATTCAGGTCCAATCTGGGGCATAGTGAGTACTGTAGCAATCAGTTAGCACATGGACCCAATTGTAGCTCAACCATTTCGTCGCAAATCTCCAACAGTGTGCCAACTGTACCTGTTGGTATGCTATTTGATTGCTACTCACCGCATAAACCTTTCTGGGTATGTGTTAAAATAGGGAGTTGGAACCCCAAGATTGGATTTCGTGTTTTCCTTTCGGATTCCTCCTTTTTTCAAGAACGCCCTTTTGAGGATTCCCATTTTGTTTTTGAAATTAAAGCGACCCCAAAGGAAATTTCAACTCCCAAAACTGGGAACCCCATTCGATCGTCGGTCCGTCGGGGCCGGCCTCGATTCGATGTTCGATTTGCCAGGGGCCCAGATTCATGGGCAGTCCAGTTCGAAGTCCCAACTTCGGGACGAGCCCATACCATGCGGGGGTCCCAAAGATGTGATGCCTTCAGCTTGCCAACAAGAATGTGTACCGACACCAAGACAACAGGAACCACATCCAGACAAAGGTGTCTGCCAATGGGATTCTGAAAGCCCCCTTTTGGTTGACACCCAGAAGAGCGATTTTCGAACTCAAAGACCAATGCCTTCAGGTGGTCGGTTCCCTTTTGCTTTCCCTAACCGTCCAAGTAGGGGACCCCTATTTTGAGAAACACCCTTATTTCGACGACAAGCTCCATTTTGCACTAGTTAGAATGGATGATGCCTTATGAACACGGGTTGATAAACCACCTGCCATGCGTTTGGTGGATTTTATCCATCCGCAGTAAAAGGTTCTGGAGCCGAGACGTTGGCGACTGGCAAATTGCGGTGTCATTTTTTAGGCCCTGCTCCCCAAGATGGTTTTCCTTCAAAACCGCAAAGGTCATGTGAGCCACAATCAAAACCCGGGTAGATGAAGGTTGGGAAGGGACAATCCCAACCATAAATAGCTGCGGCCGCCTTCTCAATTCCTTGCGTGGTTCTGGGTAGACCATTTTAGTACCGGGTTTTGATGGTGACTCATGTTCCCTTCACTTGCAATCTGGTGGCATCCGTGCCAGTTGGACTTGAAGCCTAGGCTGCGGGTTATCTGCAAAGCCCTGGTTCCAGTCGGGGGCCGAGTGCGCGAGACTGCCATTTTAGGGTCCCCCTAGTTGGCGTGGTTGCGTCTTTTTTTGGATGGTCGCCTTTTTGGGGTGGTTGAAAAGGGAAACGACAAGAACAACATCTTTGAGGGTCCCATATTTTAAGGCAACCCCATGTTGACACATGCCCATATGCGAACTGGCAACTTTTTTGGTACTGCTAGGAAGATGGGGCGCTCACCCAAATTTCCGAGAAACACCAGGCCCACCCAATCTGTCCATTTTTCGGCGAAGCGATTTTGTCGCGTGGCTCACATGTCCTGCAGACAGCATGACGACAAAAGCAAGCGATTCCCAACAAGTTCCAATTCAGCCGAGGTATGATAAGCTCGGACGACAGCAGTGACTTGAGCGCGTGAGAGCAAGATGCTCTTGTGTTTTGCCTGGGCAATTGCTTTCGGCTAGAGGAAAAGGGGCTTCAAGGCTTCTGAGCTCGACTTTCGAGAGACGCGAGGCTTGGCAACTTGCAGGGCTTCGCGCACATGTTAGCTTGGCTCGAGCACAGGGTTTGCAAGCACAACTTTCGCAACGCGTTCGAATTGCAGGTCCCAGGTGCCTCCTTTGCAGATTCCAGGGTTTCCAATGCATCTCTCCCGAATTGCATGAGGGTCGCCCCAGCGTTCGCCTGAAATGGTGTGGCGAGGCAGGGCTTCTGCCAGGTTCCGCGTCTTTCGGGCTGTCACCTTTTGCGTGCTGCATGTGCCTTCAAGGCAAGCAACGCAGCGGCGCAGTCGGCAGGACTGCACATTGCTTTGGTGTCTGCGTGCAGCTTGTGCCTCGCTGTCATGTCGGCATCGTAGCCTTCGCTTCATGCACCCTCAAGTTGCGCACATGAAGTTAAATGCAGCGCTTATGAGCAGCCCACGAAAGCAGCGGCAAGAGAGAAGCCATGGCAAGCTGCACAGAGCATTTTGGACCGTCTCTAAACAAGAATCCCCCCACAAAAAAAGGTGTGGTTTTGCTTTGGTTTACCAACACTCAAAGGGATATTCCGTATTCTCAAAGGAAACACACACACACACACACACACACACACACACACACGCGCTTGTCACCACAAGACGACTTTGCGTCCAAGCAGCATTTTCTGCGGCATGCCGCGGACCGCTCGGATGAGCGGCGTCGCATGAGCTTGGACAAGCCGCTTCTGGAACGTCGCACCATGCGTTTGACGCCCTGTGCTGCCCATGCAGGGGGCCTCTCGCCTCAAGTGCACATCAAAGGAATTTGGACCTCCGAAATGGCGAGTTTTCTTTTGGCTTCCTCAAAGGGGTAAAGTTGACCCTACATTCATCAACCCCTCTTTATGAATAGGGGGGTGTTTCCCTCTAAAATTGGTCTGATTCCAACCACTACGCCCAGGTCGACACCCCCTATTGAATATTTAGCATGGAATACACCGAGAGGTGATGGCCACCACTGGAAGCAATTTTTGAGAGCCGCAAGGCACGGCCGCATGAGCCCCCACTTGAGGCTCAAACTCTTGGCCGTGTTTTCATACGTGAGTCCATCAGACACCACGTGTCGTGTCTGCGACAAAATCGTCGCAGGCCTCTTGCTGATAGTGCTGGTGGCATTCATTTGGGTCGGTGCTTCGCAGCTCATTGAGCCTTGGCATGTCGGGCATGTCGGACATGGCCACAGTTGAGGTTCGGTCAACATATCAAACTGGGCCGGTCTTTTTTGAGGGTAGTCCCTAAACTTCAACCACCACAACCAGGGGTTTCACATCCCAGGTCCTCTATGGGAACCGCTTTTTGTGACTGCTCAGAGTGAGGGGCAATACTCATATGGCATTTGGCTCACCGCTTCAAGTTTGCAGCGCACCAAGGAGACCATTTTCAAAGACCAGTCCTTTGACCACCCATACTTTCTGACGTACTTCAACACCTGCGGCTCTTTGCTTACAGCGAATATTTTTTGAGATTGAAGTATGGGAGTGGCCGAACGGCAAACATGCCACGGTCGCAAGGTTTCTCCTTCTGGCTGCTCGGGACTGCGTGCAGAAAACCGGTGGAATGTGAAGGCGCGAAGACTTTTTGTCAGCAGAATTCGTTTTCAGGACAAAAGTTGCCGGAGATCATGCTTGGCCTTTTTGTTTGCATCTTGAATGGTATCCCAAAGGCATTTGGGTGTGGCTCAAAATTAAACAGGAGGGGTTACGCGGTTGTGGTCCATGTTTCCACTTACCAGGGTTCCATTTTGGTACCGGTTTTGTGAGCCACAGCCATTTTAATTTATACCTACCTCCACATCCAGCCAATGCGTCGGTATGACAAGTCGAGAGCGCCTGGCAGGACAGGAGGTGCTCAATGACGAGCTCCCACCTCGATGCCCTCAATTACTGAAATTTGGCTGCTGAGTCCGCATCCTTGCATGGAGGGAATATATGAGGGTCGTCAGAAAACCCCGCCTCTTGTATTTAGTCTATAGCTAGGTGCTGCCACTACTGGTACTACTTCTGCTGCTACTACTAATATTACTAATGCGACTGCTACTACTACTATTACTGCTGCTACTATTACTACTACTACAACTACTACTGCTACTACTACTTTACTACTACTAATACCACTACTATCACTACTACTACGCGGTAGTATGGTTAAAAGTAGTGCAAACTATTGCTTCTGCTGCTGCTACTACTATACTGCAATAACGCCCCGACCACGCGCGGCAGCCGCGCGCGGAGCGGATGCCGCGCGCGCGGCATCCGCGCACGTTGAGGCGCGAAGGACAATAACTCATGGCAAGGCGTTTTTTTTTTTTTTTTTTTTTTTAATATAAAACTGTGTAGTCAGTAATACTAGTAGCACCTTCATCACTTCAGCACACCAGTTGCCAAGGCCAACAGGTTTCGAGCGCAAGCTGTCTCACAAGGCCGCATTCTAGGCAAGGCTTCAGCAGCCAGTCTGAAACAGTCTGAAAACACACAAACTGGCGCACGCGTCTTCCAGGCGGGACGTATGTACTTAGGTGGCACCAAGTAGGTCTGGGACCTGTGCTTCCGCCGCTACTATTGTGCTTTCTTATTATTACTATTACTACTACGACGACTACTACTAATATGCTGCTACTACTGCTACTACTGCTACTGCTACTACTGCTATCTTACTTTTACTACTACGACTGCTACTACTACTACTACTACTACTACTTCTACTACTACTTTTTCTACTTCTACTACTTCTTCTTCTTCTAGGCATGGCTCCCGCAGCCAGTCTGACCCTGCCAATTGGTCTGGCTTTGCCTGCTCCACGGAGGCTGTCAGAGCTTGGATCTCTTGCGACCGCCTTGTAACCCTCCAAAGTAATGCCACTTATTGGACCAAGCCCGCGTTGTGGCCAGGGCTTGTTTGTATAAAGCCTGCCTTGCACGCAGAAGAGTGTCTGAAGAGGTCTGAAACACTCCAATTTGAATGCGCGCGGGCTATTCCTGAACAGTTGGCTGGTGGGTTGGTTGGTTGGTTGCTTGGTTTGCGCTTGTTTGCAAAAAGCCGGGAGACGTTTTTCAAAGTCCGGCGCCAAGCAGTGTTTAAATCGTGAAAGATAGGCAAAGCACCCGCATTGCACTGACTACTTGTTAGCATGAAGCCCACCCTGCGTGACTAGAGGTGTCTGAAACAGCCTGAAACCTTCCAGCTTCGAGCGCCTACAACGTGTTCCTGACCTGAAGGGCGTTGCTTTGTCGCAGGTTTCGCCAGGCGGTTGTACTCTCTTCGAATGTACCTTTCGTGGCCCGAGCCTTTTCGTACAGCTTAAAAGCCACATTCAGCACCTAATTCCCCATGTGTTTCGTAGACGAAGATGACGGCGCAAGCAAAAACACACGTAGGCGCAAGGAGGCGCAAGGGCGGGCGCAAGGGATCCTAAAAGGAAGCCGTGGAACAATAATTTTCGACAACCCCCTTATATATATATATACATATGTATATGTAGCTATGTATTTTGAACTATGTCTGCAAGAAGGCATATCAAAACGGAATCTGTTTTGTCAATGTTCTTGTTTTTCTGGTTGAGAGAGCTAACCATTATGGGAAAAACAGTGTTTTTGCAGTCATTTTAGGAAAGAAGGAAAGGTAGTTCATGGGGGGGGGGGCTGACCATATATATAGATATATACATACACATATACATACATATGTATATTATACTAATATATGCAACAGTGCGACTGCTCTGCGGCACTCCTGCCAAGGAAGAATAGCAATGGTTATTGCTCCGGCTTGGCTGCTTGCCAACTATCTCTTCAACCTTTCATTAGACTACACCTCTGTTGTGTGGAGCTTAGCTTGCAACTTGCAACGTCAGTGAGAGCTGTTGCCAGGAATTCCATGGGTTCGCGTCCGTCTGTAGCTTGCTGAATCAGGGGACTCCAATCGAGCTGTAGTAGAACCCATTCAACGGTTCACCCAATGCAGGCTTGTTTGGGATCCAATTCTTATGCGAGGTGTTGCAATTGTTGAAGAATTTGCGGATAGCTTGCTTCAGGCTTCAAACTCCATGTTTTCCACGACCAGCAACATTTGGACGATGCTGTTCTCCGTGTGCTTTCTGGGCGAACGCATCAATCCCTTCCACGTCATCGCCGTGGTGCTGACCATGACAGGCCTGACATTCCCTCTCGTTTTGACGATCCATGCCAAATTCAAGACGAGTCTCCTTTGACAGTGATGCTAGCGGAAATGCTCGGGGTGGGTTGGCTGGCTGGCTGGCTGGCTGGCTGGTTGGCTGGCTGGCTGGCTGGCTGGTTGGTTGGTTGGTTGGTTGGTTGGTTGATGCAAGAATAACTTCATTTGTCCGCAGTATTTCCTCAGCATGCATAAATTCAGTTGCCAGGATCCATCCTGGTTGCTACGGCCGATGCCAAAGCGAGCACCGCGGAGACTTCCAGCTGGATAGGCGAATCCGCGGGAGCCGAGAATGAAGCTGATTAGCGGGGACCGCGTCTTTTTGGGGCACCAGGTGTGAAGGTTGGGCAGAAACGCAACCAAAAGCAAAGCCCGCAGGTTTTGTCGTCCCCCTATTTTGACTGACACACACACACACACAAAGACACGCATAGCCATGGCGCAGCTTTTGCCTCTTTGTCTTCAGGCGATGGCTTGGCTCTGGTTTCCGCCTTCGTGTCGGCTGCTCAAAAGCCGTGGTTTTGGGGTCGAAAGCCAAATGGGAACCCCGGAAGCAGAACCCTTGATCTTTTTTGAGGGATGGGTGTCCCAAGTCTTTTTGAGGGGGGGGGTGTCACACCGCTTTCGGGAGGGGGGACCTACAAACCAAATCTGCCTGAGGTATGGAGCATACACCGTCCTGCTGAAGCCAGAGGCTCAGAAGATTCGAGAGCTTCCGGTGGCTAAGTTGGGGAAATCGGACGCCCGGGCGAGTGCGAAGGGGCTCCAGAGGTCGAATTCTCGCCCAAGGATTGCCAGAGTTTGAGTCCTAACCATCCGAGTTGCACTCCTGCAGTTGTCTTTGCTGAGTCCCAGTCGCGCAGTGGCTGAATTCTGCCTTAGCCTAAAAAGGGCTGCCCACTCCTTTCCGAAACCGTTTTGTTTAGTTGCCCAATCCTTCCTCGCCGAATATTTGGTGCGAATCCATTTCATTGGCAAATCCACCGGTGACTCCAAGCCCTGCATTTGCTTTGCTTCAGCTCGAGCATGATTTGGCATGTGGAACATTGGGTGTAAGTCCAGAAATTCCCGCCTTGGCGTGAACTCGTAGGGATGGATTCGAATCCCACTTTGGGTTTCACGGTGGGCTATCTCAATCCCGCATCCAAGCCCTAAACCCAAGCCGCATGAATGCATGAAATTTAGTCATAATTAGTATGTCTTCCCCTCTGTTGGTAGATATCACTATACAATGAATGTTTGTTAGTGAATTGAACTTATTATTTTTCCCCTGTTGGTAGAAGAGAAGCTACCACTAAATAATGAATGCTTGTTATTTAGTGAAACTTATTATTTTCTCTGTTGGTAGAAGGGAATCTACCACTATATAATGAATGCTGGTTATTTGTTACTTACTCAACATTTGTTACTTTCCTTCTGGTTTCCCTTTAAAACCATCCAAAGAGGATAGCCTGAAACAAGAGATGCAGAGGGAAACTGCTTCAGGTACCATGTGCCTGAGCAGGAGGAGGCCCTTGCGATGCCTACCTTGTAGCTCGGAGTGGTGGATCCGGGGCGGTTTGGGGCCACTTTTGGGGATGCCACCGCCTGTGATGCCAAGGAAATCCTCGTTGAGGTAGTCTTGGCCGGTTATTTTGGTATCACAAGGGTGATTTTCCACCGTGCGTTTCGGTTTCGCCACAACCAGCCATGTTTCTTTTGGGTTCAAGGGCGGCTCTCTTGGTTGCCCACGATGCAGAGAACTACAATCACTGAGATCTGCTTTTCCCGTGGAAGCACAAAATCCGCAGAGCGCGCCAGATGGATGAACCCGATCTGCAAACTAGTGGAGAAACCACCAATCCCAACACTGCCGATCGATTCGCGTGGGTTTGGTCCCAGTACAGTGAGAGCTATCGGAACGGGACGGGCTTGGGAATCAGTGGGTTGCCTTGTATTGTGCCGTGGTTGTTGGAGAATTGCTTGGTTGGTTGGCAGGTGATTGTAGGAACATCTGAAGTTCAGGAATATGAGGGACGCATATTCCCATATTCCCGGACTCCACAGTAGTCCAAGAATTCAGCATGTCATGTCAACTTGCGTCTTTTGAACATGTTTGAGTACCCTTGATAAATGCGAACAAAGCAACGCTGATACCGGTGTGGATTTTGGTTCAAGCTAGGATTTACCAATATACTGACTCAGGTTCGCCAGAAGGGGAACCATTGCAGCCGACTAGTGTCTGGTGACTGAATATTTTTAGTACCAAGGGCCACGACCTTTTCGGTATGGAAGTTTCTCAACATGCTGGATAGGGAGACCAAAGGAAACATGTGTGCGTGTGTGTGTGTCTTTTGGGGGGGTGGTGGTTCCTATTTGGGGGTGTCCTTTTCTAGGATTTGGACCCACTTTAAATGGGTTTCGCTTGAACACCACAAAAAGAGAAACCGGCCCCCTCCCCCAAAAAGCCAAAAGAAAGACGGTCCATGGCGAGAAAGCCCTGAGGTTCGGCTGCATCGGTGTCTTGGTCTTGACCTTCGGGTGGCCCATCCTTATCTTCTTCCACTTGCTGAGCTGGGAGGACCCGGTGGCATGGGATCGAATTGGACCAGGTTGGTGGACTGGGGAAAGAAGCGACTCGTCTTCTTCTGTGGTCAACACCGTTTTGGGATCCCATTTTGGTTGGGATTGGTTGGGATTGGTGAAAATTCACCACCCATTTTACTCCAGTGGGCATTGGGATCTTCACTGGGGGTACGGGTTTTTGAGCCATGGCCATCTGACTTTTGGGCCGCTTTTGGAGGCGACACCCAGGCCCCGCAGCGGCCTCTCAAAAGGCAAGGGGTCCGAAGCGCTATGTCCTGGCTTCCCTTTGAACCAACCAGGGCCCCGTAGCCACTTTGGCTCAAGAGACTCAGCTTGATAAGTTGATTCCCCTATTTAGACACGAACCGTGTCCCGAGCATGCTCACTTGAATTGATATCTGCTTGGACAGTATTTGGGTGATGTTTTGGCGTTTTTGCTCAACAAACTAAACAAATCCAGTGTCACATGGACCTTTATGAAACCGGTCGCCAACCAACCCCTTTCGCAATGTCACAAATTCTTGTGCGCGCGGAACCCTCCGAAGGCAGTCTACTTTAAGCTGTTCTACCATCCCGACAGAGATTCCCGCCACCAACTGGCCAACACTCCCCTTCACACATTAGTTCCCTCGTGCCTCCAAAGGAAGCATGTATGGATAAAGATCCTTTATTGGGGTATGCTCAAAGTTGTTGCAATTGCGCTTGCCTCCAATGGGGCGCGTTCACAAGGTCACCGGCGAGGACGTCATGCGGGAAGATGATTTCGCAGCATGGTGGGAGGAGCACCACCAAGAAGGTGGCATCTTCATCAACGAGCTGAGGCGCCATTTGGCCAGGTTGCTGCAAGTGAAGAATTTCAGGCAGCTCGCCTTAGCGTGCGGTGATGAGATTTTGCTACCAGACAGCGACTGGAGGGATGGTGAGATGCTGGTTCTGATTCGGCCCTATGTCACCGACAAAGATGGGGAGGGCCTGGAGTTGCTGCAAGCAGCGCGCGATGGCGACGCTGCAAGCGTGGCGAGGCTCCTGGAGGATCCCCAAAACCCAGACCTTGCGGACCGGTTCACCAACACCGCCCTGCACTGGGCTGCGGAAGGCGGGCACCCGGAAGTTGCGCGTTGCTTGCTGGAAGTTGGCGCCGAGCTGGACAAGGAAAACGGACACGGATTTACACCCCTGCATTTGGCCGCCGCGCGTGGTCATGTGCAGGTGGCAGGCTGCTTGCTGCAAGCCGGCGCTGACAAGGATAAGGCCCGCACTGATGGAGTGACGCCCCTGCACATGGCCGCCATGAATCGCCACTCAGAAATTGTTCGCTGCTTGCTGGAAGCTGGGGCCGACCGACAGTGCTGCTATCAAGAAGTTCAGGCGTTGCTTGTTGGCAGCACGTGAACAAGGCTGATGTGAGCGGTGCCATGCCTACGGATTGCAGCAAGACGCAGGCGAACCGCGGCAGATTTGCTGGCGAATTGCCAGGTGATTTGAGCAGTCAAGTTCCAGCCGCGGAAAGAAACAAGTCTGGGGTCCTGCCAGCAACACGTAGCAGGCTTAAAGGCTGGTGCGATTGGCATGGAATGAGGGAATGACCCCCAGAAACCATCCCCTATGGTTTCCTTTATTCGAGAATCCCAAAACGGTTCATTTCATTTCTCATTCCCACCCCTCGCACCAGCAAGAAAAGACAATCACTAGGTTGGAGAGTGTTTTTTTTGCCTCGACTCGAGGAGTTTGCGTGGCCATCGAGGGCAGTCTTGGGCTCCCTCACAGTGAATGCACCTCTGCAAGTCATGAGAATGGAACAGTTGCGATTCCCGGGAAGAGGATGGTTCTTGGGGGTGCAACAGTTTTTGTTTGCACGTGAAGTTTTGAAAGTGTGCTTGCGTGTTGGCGCGCGCTGTTCTTTTGCGACGCAGCTTAGGCTTTGATCGGTACCAATCTCAGTGATGTCTTGTGGGCGTACGCTTTGCAGCTGACTACGCCACTGACTGTGACTTGATTTGCACAGCTCGAGCAACTGACGCACCACAGGATACCCAAGACGCAACTCTGGGGGATGTTCTTTGGAGCCTGCTGCTTTTTGGGGAGGTCAACAACCCGTGGGCAGGGTCCCAAGGGGCCTCCTGAGGTTCCGTGCGTTAAGCGGTGAAGTACCCAAGCTGATCGGAAGATGGATCCTTCTGACATGGACACCCATGAGAGGGAAGCAATGGAAGCGCAACCCGTTTGGCTGCTCAGAAAATGGTGTCCAACATGGCACCTTGGCAGCTCTTGCATTTGAGCCGTACTCACTTGGGTGTTTCTTTTCAACATGCGCAATCTGAGAGGCGACGCTGGGGCTGTCTTTGACGGTGCCCTTCGGGATGATCTCGGATGTGGTGCTGCGAGGAAGAAGCTTTGGGCTGCAGTACATCTCCGGGTCGCTGCTGGTGGCCCGGTCGGAGATGGGTTTCTCAATCTTTTCCGGGGGAACCCCCAACATGTCATCGGCTTTCCGTTTGGTTTCCCTTTGAAACCGAGAAAAAGGGGCACCCTCAAACAGTTTGGCTACAAATTTAGGCGTCTGCACCAGCTGATAGGTGGTTGACCCCATATTTGTAGGGTTTCAGTGGTGCAGGATTTTGTCCATCCACAGTAGGTTTGGCTTATGGGGTCTTGAATCTACAATTTGCCAAATACCCTCCAACACCAGGGGTTTCAACACTATTACATGTTTTTGGGTAGACTAAGTATGAAACAGAAGGAGCCAATATGGTATTTTCTGCGTACAGATTTGGCCCTTGGTTTCGTCTGCAAATCCAGTCGAGGCCTTTTCTTGAGGGACGTAGTGGACTCTTTGAATTTCCCACACAAACCAGGGGCCCTTAAAGGCATATTTGGACGGGTCATGGCTTCAGTCTCATCAGGTCTTGGTAGGCTTCCTGCTCGTCAGCTTTGCGCCGCAGATGTGGTCAAGACTCCGAATCAACACCTGCGAGACTTCAGAAGCTTGAATGTCGGGGGGCTATCGAAGTGGGTGCGGGTTAAGAAACCAACAGACAAATTTGGGACGCGCTACGCGCAGCACCCGAGTTGCAGGCTCGGGCCGTACGCCCCATGAATCCATGGAGCAGCCTGGTGTGTGTTTTCAAACAAAACACCCTTTTGAAGAACCAAGGGCCAAAGAGTCGTGCAAAGGGGGTGCCAAATCCATTGCAACTTGCAACTGAAAAGAAGGGGTGGCATTTGTTCGTTACCGCACATGAAGAAAACTGGATCCCCGCATCTTGAATCGGACCGTCGGACAAGCTCACCAACGTTGAATGAAGGGAAACAGTTGCGGCTGCTTATTTGCAAGGGATGTTTCGGGGCTCAATTTCCTAGCCCTCAAGAGGGCCTCTGGATAGTCTATGCGCCTTTGAGCTCGCTCGGCCCTCCTTGGGCTGCAGCAGGCCAGTGGGCAGCCGGACGTGGTTTTCCGCCTCGGGTGTTGCGGTTTTTCGGACCGCCCGAGGAAAGCTCCGAAGAATCCCTTTGAGGCCTCGCGCTGCCAAGATGGCAGACATATGTGCCACGACGAAAGCTCCTGTCCATTGCATCTCTTAACAAACAACTCACTGATGATGTCCCCCAAGGGTGTCGCGACCGTGGCAGATATGCGCTTCGCTTCAAAGTCCGTGAGTTGGCGCAAAAAGCGATGCCTTGGACAGCTCCGCGAATTGCCATGCCGTGCTCAATGCAATGAGAATATGGGTATGGGTCAAAATTAAGCCACCAGGGGACCGCAGGTTTTGGTCCATGTTTCCATTTACGATTTGGGGTACCTATTTTTAACCCACATCCATATGTTTTTTGGGGGCTGCAAGGAGCCTCCTGCTAGCCTGCTTCTCTACTGCAGCAGGCAGAATGCTGATGTTTCGCCTGGCTGAGCGAGAACTCGACGTTCGCACAGGTGAGAACTTGTCTTCTCCGACTGTCAGCATCCCAGCAGCTTGTGGGTGCTTGTGGGGTGGGCCGAGGCGCAATGTAGCGCTCGTTGGGGCGAGCTTCTTGAGATCCAAAATGTTTGCTCCCGCTGGCCGGTCCAATCTGAGTATCCAGCTGATGGGCTTCTTGTGGGCTTTGACATTGGTGGAGAGCCCTTTTGGAAAATTGCTTCTCCATAATGTTGACCCCATATTAATCAACCCCTGATTATTAATATGGGGTGTTCCCCTCCAAAAGTGATGACACTCCCATATATATAAACAGGGGTTGATTAAGATGGGGCCAACATTAAGCCAACAAAAAGGTCGATCAGGACCTTTTGCTCCAGAGAATCCTTGAAACCTAGTTCCCCCCCGCTTCGTAGGTACCTGATGGAAAAACACCAGCCCCAGCCAGGTTTTCGGGTTTAGGGGGAAACATCCCCAGCCTGAACCAAAACTACCGCACAGCCAGTTTCCCGGGTTTGGTGGCCCGGGTTTGGTGGCTACACTCCAGCCACCAAAAGTCCAGGTGAAACCGCCCTGGCAGTGTCGGGAGGGGGGGGGGTTGTCGCTAGGATCACTTGGACTGCGACAGCGGCGAGAGCTTTCAGCTCTTGTCGCCCGGGGCCATGAGCTCAGCAGTCGGGGTGTGTGTGTGTGTGTGTGTGTGCCTTGGCTTTTTTGGGGACGCAACACGGGGGCCCGTTTTAAAGTCTTTGTTTTTGTCTCGTTTTTTGGGTGGTCCTTTGAATTCACAACCAACATTCGGTGAACCACTTGTAGTCCATATTTTTCTGGAGGGACACGGGAGACTCTCAAAGCAAATCTGCAGCAAGGGGAGATTTTGATCAACGCCGTACATGGGCTCCTTTTTTTCTAGGTTTGACGAGCTGCAAAATGGGCTCGGTGCAAGGTCTCACACCTTGCGGTTGGCAAGGGGTTTCTCTCCGCGTGGTAAGGCTGATGTGGATGAGGAGGGATGTCACTGGTGGGCGCCCAAGTGAGTTGATCGTTGCAAATTTGAGGTTCTTTCAACATGTTTAGTAGTCTTCATGTTGTCCTTGACATGGGACTCATCCAATGTTCCCTGCAAAAACCCAAAGACTCACTCATTTTGTCTTCTTTTATGGAAAAAAAGAGTCACTTTGACCAAAGCTCATCTGCGTTCCTTGCTATGCCGCATGGCAGCACTGAGTGCGAAAGCACGGAATGCTATGTTCCAGGCAGCCGGTGGAGGGTGCAGCTTTTCTGCCCGGCTATGCTGGAGGCAGTGGCGTTTCGTGGTATAAATGAGAGCAACGCTCAATTGTGGGTGGTTCTATCCGGGGGGGGGGGGGCTCCTGTTGGTTATTTTATGGCACAGCCACACTGTGGATGGACAAATTCCGCTTAGGTGGTTGGTTTCGACAAGAACATCGGCACGCCCAACCGATTCCCTTTAGCTGGACTTGTTGTGGTCTCCAACGGCATGAGCACTAGGAAGGGCACCCTCCAAAAAACGACGACCCCAAGATTTGCCTGGGTTTCCTTGTTGGGATTCCCGTGACAAGCACAAAAATCCGACCCTAAAAAAAAGGGCGTACCCTTAACAACATCTCAAACAAAGAGACGCTGCAGAGCCACTTGGGTTTGTAGCCATGACGACCATGGACTACACTTTAGATCACCAGAAGACGCCCAAAAAAACCGCTCCCTGACGCAGGCTCTCCGCTGGCTGCGGGGTCCCTGGCCACCGCCCAGGCGCCGTGGAGCGGAGAGCGGCCGCGTGTGCCCAGCGCCGAGGGGAATGGCACCCCAAAGGGCATCTGGAAGAATTCAAGCAAGACCCGGGTAAGTGATTAGTAAGGGACGATCCCAGCCATAGCTGCGGATATCCGCCTTAGTTCTTTAGATGGTTCGGGTCGACCATTTTTGTAGCGTTTTGATTGTGACTCACCTGCCTAACCCCAGATCTCTGGAATTTTGAGACGAATGAGAGAATTGCCTTGGAGTCGTTTTTGAAGGGAAGCAGCAGAACACCCATCCATGTCAAGGGATATCCGATCTTGAGAGTTTCGGAGAGTTCCCTTCTCCAAGTGCTTTGGTGTGGGGATTTGAACCCTTAGTTCCTGTTCAGGGCAAATGGAAAGCCATCCCCGACGACCTCCAAACTGCCAATCCAAATCAGCAAGTCGGGGAAAGCTGACTTTTAAAGGTTGGCTTGAAGGGAAAACAAACAGAACTCCACTGTTTATGAGGTCCCTTATTGTAACACACATTCCACACACCCATAGGGGAACATGGCTATGAATTTGTCTAGAAACCACCCTCAAAACTTTTTGGTGGACATGAATCCCCACCTAAATGATGTCTACTAAAGGGATTAAACATCATGCCCATATAAGTGAGTGTTTCTCACTATAGGAATCGCCCCACTAAAAGTGGCAGCGGCTTCCTTTGCTTTCCCTTTACCAACCTCAAGCAAGGGCTTTTCCATCACTTTGGAAGCTGTAATTTGCAACTCTGTCTGGGCGGCTGGGTGGGAGCACTTACAGGATCGCCCCAAGGCTTCGTGTGTTCAGAAGCCAGCAGGAAACCACACAATCCGAGGGCTGCCGCACGGGCGAAGCAACAAGCCCGCGCTTGCCAGGCTCACTGCGCGGCTTTTGGCCGCTTAGTTGCAATCGAGGGATGTCTAAGCGGCGCCTGGATGCGTCAAACTTGTGGCTCAGGCTCAGAGTGCGCTGGAGTGACGTTGCAACCCTGCAGGCCAGTTCTTTTTTTCGCCTTTTTTTTTTTTTAGTGACAGTCGTAACCATATTCGTAATACCAGCAGTAGCAGGAATGGATAATAGCAAGAACAACACTGGTAGTAAACATGACAATGATAACAATAATGCAATTCATAATAGTAAGAGTAACAATAGTGATGATAATCGACAGCAATGACGCAAATATTAATAGTAACAACAGCAATAGTGAGGATAATAGCAACTGCATTAATGATACAAACCATAATAGTAACAACAACAGCAATGTAATCATGATAATAGCAGTTACATCAGTAATATCAGCAATAACAATAAGAATATAATCAACAACAATAGTATTAAGAATACTACTACTACTACTACTACTACGACGAAGAATAATACTACTAATAGTAATGCTACTACTATCAATAATGATAACACTGAAAATAATGATAAACTAGTGATGATAATAACAAGAACGATAATGATGGTAATAGTAGTAGTAATTTGAACATAAATAATAATGAGACTACTACGAATAACAATAATACCAATGAAACAAGTACCAACGATAATAGTAAGAATAACAACAATAATCATAACAAAACCAATCGCGATAAGCAACATATAAATTATAAACATAATGATGATGCTGATTTGCGGCGTTCGCAGGGTAGACATGCACCGGAGGGGATGTTGAACTGCCTGCAGGTGGAACAGTGTCGTGGTGTACTCCTTGCGTGCGGAGGCCAGCAGGAACAGTTGTGGCATTACCACAAGCTTGCGTCATATGTGGAGAGAAAGTATGCACACGGTGCATTTGGGAATCACATGGAGATTTCACAAAAAAGGGGGGACATTTTAACTCTCCCATGTCCGCTTGGGGAAGTCAATTTTGACCCGCACTCGCAGCGTCAGGCAGATCCGCAGGCGTCACCACAGGCACGTTTTGATCGAATGAACCAACTAACTGGCCCCTATTGAAGGGACGCCGAGAGGAGGTTGCTTAAACAAGCGGTTTAAGCAAGGAGAAGAAACAGGCCAACCCTTTTGACACTGTGCTTTGATTTGACCCACGTGGATTTGTGCGCGAATATATTGTTGCTGCGGATGGGAAGGAGTGAGAGAGGGGGGGGGAACGAGATAGGAGAGGGACAGCATGGTTGGAAGGGACACTTTTACAGTCAGAGCCTGCAAAACGAAATCAGGACACGCACAGGGCACATGAATGAGCGAGATTGTGGGGGGGGGGGGGGGGCAAACTGTTTACATCTCAACGGTTTTTGGGAAACCGATTGCTCTAGACTTCTCACA